AAACACTCTATTTGTTTTGAGTGACAAACAAAACACTCTATTTGTTTTGTTTGTCACTCTATTTGTTATTGTTTACAGAGCGACACTATGGGCTAGGTTCACTAACAGTATCATATTTCGTCATATTATAACTCAGAATGCACAAAATTTATTCATTCAAGAATTATATAATCGTTGCAAGTTCTATTCAATACGTAATAAGCTAGAACGATGTAAAAAGAAATTAAGCAAACAAACAAAAAGAAACAGTTTTCACAGACGATTGATATTTTCATTCGATTAATTCAGTTCTCCCTTCGCGACAAGGCAAAAAACTAAAAAAAAAACAAAATATCTCTATTAAATTACGAAGTAAATCTTAAACATTAGTCTCGGAAAATTAAGAAAGGATAAAGCATGATGTAAATAATAAATGAAGGTGTGATCTTGTTGTTGCGAAGCTAAGTTCTCTAGATTGGCGCAGCCAACGCACGATTTGATGTTTCAAAGGTAAACAAGCAATGGGCGCTATCAAAAACATAGTAGGCGTAGCGGCACTTAAACACTTAAAATTGTGATAATTCTAAAAATTGCATAAGATTTACTAAGCTAAAAACTTAAGGAAGATAACAAAAACATAATTCAATCATTTTTAAAGCAAAAAATGTGCCAATTTACAAAAATATAAGAGTAAAGAAACTGAGATCAGAGCCGGGTAACAGAGTGGATATATGTTAAAAATATTTAGTAGATACATTGGTGCGGCCGATTGCAACCAAAATACGAGGTGCACATCTACCTGTATAGCAGTCCTACATTCAAAATGTCAACGTTTCTGAGGCTACTGGTTTTGAGTTATGCGAGCTACGTACGTACAATACGTTCGTCAGACGCCACGAAAAATCTATTCAGAATTCATTTAAAAGTCGTTTTATAATTTTTTGAGGAAAAGAGCTTTTATTCTGTCTTACGTACAGCTATCACGCCAAATCATCGTTAAATTTCATCGTAGTGGTCAACATGGATATTTTCGTTGAAAATGCGCCTGAAATTTTCGCGATTACAATACTTCTTTTTACTCGTACAAGAAGATAAAATTCTGTGATATTTTCTACCAAAATTTCAATCGATCTATACATCCAATACAGATTTTTATAAATTTATCAAAATTATTACAATAAAAAATTTTAAATATACACATTTTTTGATTAAAAAAAATGTCTATACACATTAGTTTCCACAAAATTCGTCCAGCCAAAAAATGTCTTTAATGAAGCATTCATCTTAACCTGAGCCTTGATACAAATTTTATATTGATGTTTTATCTCTTCAGCCAGAGGATTCAGTTTGCAGTAAATACTGATGATAATAATAATATATATATATATATTTTTTTGCTTTTATACGCTTATACACGTTTAGACAATTTGCTTTGCTACAAAAAAATTCGCCTGTTTGGATTCACTACTGCAGCTGTATTTTTTAAAGTATAAATTATCGTCTGCAATTTGGCAGTTCTGTTTTTATGCAAAATGGTGCTTTTAAAAAAGCAATGGAAGGAAGGTTATGTTTGTGCGCCTTCCGAAGAAAATTATTCGTATTTAGTTACTAAAATATGCTGTGGAAGCCATGATTTTTTGATATTTAAAGCTATGTTTGGTAGTACTGTCATTAAGAAAGGGAAAAAAAAGCGTCAAAAATTGTATTCGAGTGGGAAAATGGTTCCAAATATATACCAATGGGAATGCAAAGTTAGATTTTAATGTTCAAAGATGAATCCGCCTAGCCAAAAAAGAGTTGCAAAATCCTTAAAATGCTCTGTTAGTTGTAAACAAAGTGATTAATGCTGATTTTAATCTTAAAAACGCGATAAAAACATAATGTGCACCGTCTTTCTCCACGACATATCGCCGAACGCAGAACTCTTTATGAGAAACATTTATCCAGACAAAAATGAAAAAATGTTGTCACATTTTTGTGTCACTTGGGTGCACTTAAGTGCTGCAATAAAAAGAGTTCCATTTATTATTATCAACGAGGAGAAAAAAAATCTTAAAGCACGGTTCAAAGAATCTAAAGAAAGTATTTCTACGGAATTTATGATTGTAGCATTTTTTTTCCCTCCCATATAATGGCAAATTACAAGGCCATACTCACTTCTGATATATCCTAGATCCACTGAATCTCCTGATGTATCTACGGATTTTTGTGGTTTGGGACTTTTCACCTTTTGACTTTCTTTTCGCCATCAACGGAATAACTGGGTTAGGTGCTTACTATCCTTTGACTGCTATGAGCGCATATATATGTCCAGCAAAAACCATCGGTGTGGACCATGGTCGTATATGTGCATCCGTCGCAAATGAGCGCTCGGCGAAGGCGTTGGCCGTTTACTGTTGTCTCATATGCATGTTCGGCAATTATTTTTATCGTAAATGTCCAATATTCGCAGAAAGCTCACGCTTCGTTCGTTGCTTAGCAACGTGGAAAAAAAGTCCTTTATTTGGTCAGACATTATGCGGCAGCGCGCCGCTCACAGGAAACGTCGAGAAGCACTTCAAATTAGTAGTCAAAGGGTTAAAAAAGGGGATTGTCCAGAAGTCGACTAACAGCCCTCCTTGGACTTTCAAGTTGTTCAAGAGGAATGGGATAAAATACCTTTTGCAGTACTACAAAAGGTGTTTTTTGTCTTGGAAATCATGTTGTAGATAGGTAGTGAAGAATAAGAGTTATCAAATAGAACATTTATTACACAAAAATTTTAGGTAAAATATTTCTGTAAATACAGTGCAAATCGTATAAAAAATGTGCGAACAGACTCTGAACTCCAACTTATCAAGCTTAATTGTCGTTTATTTCGGTAATAAATAGATGGTTTTATATATTACTCTTTAATTTTGATTAAAAAAAACACCCCAGGTGTTTTCAAGATAATTTGAATTTTTAATTTTAAAAATGCAAATATTTCAGTCATTTGGCTTTTATGTAGTAAACAGATTCTTATCACTTGACATGATTGTCAGGCAAACACCTAATGCAGGTTATATTATTACAGCTTTAATACCTTTAGCAGCCCCCTTTTTTATGTTTGTCACACCATTCTTTTTTATTGAACAAAATTATGACACAGCCCCAAAAATCTAATATCAATGAGTCTCAGCGGTAACATAAAAATGGCAAAACTGGGTTATTTAAAATTAGATTTGCTGCAAAACAGTGTTTCTTCACAACAAAATGTTCTAAAGAACATTTTTTTCCTTCAAATGCCAAAAATAATTTGACAAAATACGATTATTTACAGTGCCAAGAAATTTTTGTTACAACCGGATATTTTTATTTCAAATTATAGCTTAATTGCACACCTATTACACTGTATATCAGAAATACATTTTCTTCTGCATTGGCCTTCTCCAGTCATCTCTGCTTTTGCAAACTGTTTTCCAGTTTTTAACCTTTAGAATTAATTTTATAAAGCCTCTTAATGTGAATTTCACATTAACTTTATTGTAGAAAAACAGCTTTTCTCATTCTATATCTAATTTATTTGTTCTTTCTTTAAAATACAAAAGCAAAGAAATGTTTAAATTAGTTGATTGTGGTCAAATTCACAAAGATAACTAGATATGGAAACAACTTAATTGACTTGAGGAAACTGCCGTGTACACGCATTAGACAAAAATGTGTAAATGCCAAAATAAAAACATTGCTATGACTAAGACAGTGTAGGAAAACCGTTAATATTCAAAAACAGCTTGAAGTCTTCTGGGAGTGGTCTTGTATGCTTTGCAAGGGAAAATTGCACCATTCTTCCTGTAAAATGCTGGCGAGATCAGTTACCAATAATGGCGGTGGACAGTGCTTTTGCAGATTTCCCTCCAAAATAACATGGTATGGTAAATGTGACAGTTCATCCTCGTGCTCAGAAAACCAGTCCTGGATGATGTGAGCTGAGTGAACAAGAGCTCCGTCATCTTGGAATACAGCATCACCACTGCGAAACAAAATTTGTACCATGGGATGGACATGATCAGTCAAAATGGTCACATAATCCTTGGCCGTAATAATGAGTCCCATAGAATACCATTATACGGCTGCCCAAAACCATGACCGAAGGCCAGCCATGTTTTCCTCTCTGCAACAAACAGTTCCTATCAGACACTCAATATGGCATTTGCCAGACAAACTAGCCCAGAAGTCAGATACAGTGAAAAGCAAGACTTATATTATCAAATAACAGTCTTTCATTGCTCTACAGTCCAGGTTTTATGACTTCAGCATAAAATTTACTCTTTTTACAGGTATTTTGATCACTGCTGAGTGACTTTTGACTTGCAGTTCATCCAAAAAATACCCTATCTGTGGAGCTCTCTTCTGTTTTGGTGCTGACAGGGTTTGCGAGCATGACGTTCAATTCAGTGGTGGTGGACTTTGTGGTTGTAGTCCTCTTAATTTTCATCACAATCCTCTTTAATGATGGTCTTTCACAATCACTCAACGTACATTTTTATCTGTCCTGTGATTTAGCAGATGTGATCTTCCTGTAGAAGCCAAAAATTTAAGTTACTGCGCCTCTTAAAACACGAAACACTTCAGCTACTTTGGTTACCGAAGACCAACCATACGAGCCCAAACAATTTGCCCATGTTCGAATTCATGTAGCTTTGACTTGCACAGAACACTGTCTCAATAACGAATGGCACTTGCAACATACTCAGGCGGTGTTAGTGAGTAATCACATCAGTGCCACTAACAGCTTTGCAAGAATAAACATTTCAGTTCAAACATGCATTTTACAAGGTGTTCCTATACTTATGCCCAACCCCTGTATTTACATTATACATATGAAAACCACCAGATATAGAAACTGCAACTATTTCACAACTTTAGTAACTATTCAGACACGACTCCCCCCTTTCTATGTAGAATGAATTATTACAATTAAATATTAAAATACATTTTGAAAAATTTTAAAATGAAAGTTAGATATTTTTTAATTGTTTAATCCAACAATTATACAAAAATAGTTTGTCATATAAAATTTTATTAGCAGTATAAAGGATTACAGCGTGCTTGAGAATAGGAGAGAACAAATATGGAACACATATGAATATTGTATTGCACATACATAATAACTTTTACATTCATGAATAAATATGACACTGTAGTAACTTTTTCAAGTTTTAAGTAGCAATACACATTTCACGATTATTACAGTCAAAACACTACTGCCTACCAAAGTAATTATTCTGAAACTAATATGACTTTAGATGGCAGTTAGAATGAAATCAAAGTGGATAACTAAAGCAGTTTATTTGATCCTTATCTTTTTTAATGCAATCGAATCAGCTACACAGTATAAATTAAGTTATTACATCACAATCAAGAATATTAATTATACATTCAACTTAACATTTTAATAATTTGGCAAATGAAATGAAGTTTAGTATTACATTTACATTACGAATATAAGAGTTAACATACATTATGAAAAAATACATGCAATATCACATTTAAAAGAAACACTTCACAGTAAAAATATAGTCAAGCCTCTTACATTTTGATAAAAATTCATTTACAATAAGCAATATAAAATCTATTGTAGCAGCAATGTTAAAAGCAGCTTAGCAACAAAAATAGAGATAACTCTTCATAAAAATATTAGATCTAAGCATTTCACTCTTCTTTTTTTTTACAATGTGTTCCCTGCCAAGGGCTAAAAAATTATCTGCGTAAAAATATAAGCACCAACAGCAGGCAGGGAAAATTATCCCAAGATTAAAAAATTTCCTACTCTGTTGCCAGTTATGCATTTTGCAAATATAGAAACAACATCCTTACAGTTGCAATAAAATGTCCACAAATTTCAGATTGAGGGGGGAATGGCAATTTCATTCAACTCTCACATGTATAAATTTAAATACATTTTAAATTTATTTTAAAGTTTACTAAGCTGAAAGGTGTGTATTTATCAATGAAAATATTAAGAATTGAAATGTAATGCAAAAGAATTAAGAAACATCGAAGTCCATCTGTAATCAGCAGAAGTCTTATAACTAAATAAAAAAACTTGGGTTCAAAAATTATACCATCATTTGCTGCTACATAATGCATAACTAAAAGCTTTACATAACTGTAATTAAATTTCTCCTAAAATATAAATCATTATACATATCATAGCTGCCAATCCTGAAATCTGAAAAATCAGGTTTTAAAACTGGGTGTTTCAAAGAAACTCCAAATGTATTTAAATTTATAATACATGATTCAGGTTACTGTGCTATTAATAACATGAATATGATTGTAAAAAACATTTATATTTCAAATTTTATCTTCTTTGACTTATTTTAAACAATTTCCTTACACTTTTATCCTGAGAAAAATCCCGAGTACAGAAAGAAAGCTTTTATTTATTAAAGTACTTTAAAAGATAAAAATAAAATGAATAATTTGTATATTTATTTGTTTATAAACTTTATAATGTACCATATACAGAACCTGACTAAAGCAGGGACATACGGGGCAGTTGCCCCGGCACCCCCACATCGAATAGGAAGTTTATTATAAAAATTTATATATCTCGAAAAAGTTCTCTTGTTCATTACTGAAGTAGTGAAGCAGAAGGGGGGCCCCAAAACAGATTTTGTCCCGGGCCCCAGTTAGGCTAAATCGGGCCCTAATCATATAGTGAAGTGAAACAAAATCAAGTACATATATTAACTGATTAAACATTGCTTGATGCTTCATACAAGTGTCTACAGCAGATTATGACGATTTATATAAAATGAAATTACAGTAAAAAAAATTTAATATAAAAAAATTTCACAAAATGTGATAAAAACAAAATTTAATGGGAAATTTTATTCTGAAATTCACTAGCAGTGGAGGAATAGAATTTGTAGAATTTCATTTAATAAATTTTATTTATTGTGGGGAAACAGTTTCTTTAAAGTAGTTTTCCCTAGTAAAAGCTAAAAAATTAAAAACCGGGATATTTGGTAATCTACTTGCAGATGTGTTGAAAAATTAGAATTGGCAGCTATGATTACATATATATATTTCCAAATCTTCTTAAACATCAAAATAGTCTTATTTTTTTTTCACTCAAAATTAACTGCACAACTGATTTTGTAGAAAATTAACACTGAAGTACAAATTAAAATTTTAATGGCTTTTTTAACAGTCTTAAAAGTGGGACACACAAAATGCTAAATTATTAAAAAATATGAGAAAACATAGAGCTCCTAATTTTTTTACATATAATTTATGGCAAATGCAGAAATTATATATGAATTTATGCGAAGGATGAATATTCAGGATACACTGGATCTGGTTCCGTAGTTTAAAACTAAAATTCTTCATGTACTCACGTACAAATGAATAAGCACCATCTACAATGCTCAGGTAAAACATGACAGTTGTTACACAGTTCATCAAAAAATTATCACATTTTCTTAGAGCTCAGTTTTTCTCAAAAATTCATTTACCAAAAGCTCTGTATCACAAATCTCAGCAACAATTTCACTTTTACCCTATCTCCTAGTAAAAACATTAAGTAGTACGAAACCACATTTACAAGAAAGCATATATCCGACATTGATGTATAAATTGAAATCTGCACTCCATAATCTCCACTAAAAAATTCCAATATGTGAATATTTAAATGACATTTTGAAGTACATCATGCATAATAAGGTTTTATTTTTAATTTAGCTATGATTAGAAATACACAAATCATTATTTCAGATAATAAACCCTTCATTTAGAATCTTATCTACTACTTTCATGAAGTTCTTGGAAATATGTGGCTCCTTTTGCTAATCGCCAAGTGCAAAACAAATTGAAGTCATGCAAATAAATAATTCTGACTTCATCATGCTTCATAATACCTTGAATAACATGCATCTGAATCTGGAGACAAATAACTTTCATTCATTATGGGGGGAAATCAATAATACACTTAAGAAAGTATATATATTATTTAAAAATAAAATACTTTAGTAACAAAAATTCATAACACACAGGAACAAATTAAAATTGTAATTTCAGGTCTGTTCAAATAAAAACTGGAATAACTGTAAACTTAACATTTTAAAATGATACAGAGCAGTACTGTTTAAATTATTAACACAGTAGCTTACAGTACTTCCAGGATTTTATGTTAATATTCATTCATATCTAATTAATGTTCATACAGCAAAAAATTTAAAATTTTACTCTTTTAATCGCACATTACAGTTTAATGAAAAAAGTTTTAAAATTAATAATAAAAAAAGGGATTATGTATCATTTTTACATTACATGCATGAAATTCAGTCAGTACTTCCAAGCTTTCTTGAGCAAAGTCCTAAGACAAGGCTAATGCAGTCCAGAGACGTAAAATATGGCAACATTTTGAAAGCAACTAAAATCTATCTCACTTATAAAAGAATAAAACAATCACTGCTTTCATAGATACAAAACAATGTAACAAAGTTAATTCAAATGATAAATGGGAGGTTTTTTTTTTGTACATATAATTTACAAATACGCTGAACACAGCAAGTCAAAGTTTGAACATAACATTTATGATAACAGTACAAAATCTACTATCATTTAGGACAGAATTCCAACACATAACAGAAACAAGGAACAAATATCTGTACAGAAACTGATCTCTCTGGAAATCCTACAGAAAACAAGATTAATATTTATATTTCCTTAAATAATCAATAAATACATTAACTTTATTAAATCTGACTTGAGTAATTTTATCAAATTCAGAAACAAAATGAAACCTACTTTGCACAATTTCTGTATACGTAAATTCCTTGAAATTTGTCAATATATTAATTTTTGTAATTATAAATGACACTGCAATTTTGCTAAAATTAAATATTCAGGTTATATAGGGGTAGTAAATTCAAAAAGAAGCTTATCACCTTAACTTTAAAAAATTAATAGCGGGGAAAAAAAAATAAACCCTATATTTTGAACAACAGCTGTGGAATATTAACATTCTTTATTTCATTGAAGTGAAGAAAAGAAACAAATATACTATATTATCTAGATGTTTCTACAATTCACCCTTATTCCTTTAAATATAGGAAATTTAGTAATTATATGAAACTCCTTACACTGGAAAACTATGCAAGTGGAATCACTGAATTTTTCAAAAATCATAGCAAGCATAATTAAGGATCAGAAAATATAATCCTTATAAAACAAAGCTTATTATAATAGTCCCAGATGTGACTGATTTAAACAAGCACTTTTTTTTACATGCTACTTTAACCAGTTGCAAACTAACTTTTACCAAGTTATAGATATTTTTAAAGAAAATTACAGCAATATTAACTCTTTCCTCAGTAAAATGCAGTTTTTGTAAACTTATGAGAAATCATTCATTATTTAAAATAGAATAAATACAGCAAACATGAAATCTGCCAATACAAAACAAGTTTGATTTCCCAGTGAAAAACAAAATAGTTGAATTACAAATATATGCAAATAGCTAATTAGCAGATATTTCACAATGCAAGCCACAGAACAGAGTAAATATGAAAATACAATCATAATATGTAACAATTTATATACAATAACTCTTGTCAGAATACATTATGGGGGGAAATTCGTTTTAGGTTAATTAAACATTACATTCATATTCTCAATTAAGAATTTGAACGCACCAAAAGACAGTCACCATTTAAAGAGATTCTATTAGGAACCAAAAAATTCATTTGGTTTGGTTTAAGTGCTATTTTCCTGAACCTGAATCTCAGAATGTAAGATATACAATTTTACGTGTACCAGAGAAAATTTATGTGGTTCATAAAAATAACAGCACTGGCTTCCTTAAATGACAAAAATGGGTTAATGTTTGGTAAATAAGAGATTCTCTGTGTCATATCAGATCATGCAGAGCAAGCTGAAAATATCCCAGCTAAAACACTTAACAGCAGTGCAATTTTAAAACCAGTCTTAAGAAAGTTGCATAGTTTTTATTACTTATTACAAATGATGCACATTATATAATTTTTATGCAATTCAAATATAAATAGTACTTAAAATTTAGTATTACAGTTCAATTACACAAACTGTGAAAAAACTATGCTATATAAAAGTTAAATATTTAGAATGAATTACATTAAAAATTACTTCATATAACAATTCAGTACTTATTATCAAGTTAACTAAACAGCACTGCTTTCTAATTATATTTGATTATAACAATATAAAAAAAGCTTACTAACTGAAAGCAAAGGTTGCAAACAACTTTATTATTACAGTAGAGCTATAAAGTGAAGAATTAACTTTAAAACTGATTTCAGTGTGAGAAATTTACATGCACAGCCAATGAAATATGTTATGTAACTTTGACACAATTATCATACCAAAAGCTGACTGCTTAATGCTCAAATAAAGGTATCTGAATCATTTCACATATCAAATCCAAAATCATTATTTTTAAAGAATCACTCTACACCCCATCTCCAAAATAACAGCTTTATTACTAGCTTATTTCAGACTTTTGTAGTTCAGTTTTGAAATTTGCATGACACCTCATACTAAATGTTATAAGAAAATAAATAATTTTAAATTAAATGAACTAGTTGTGTATGACGAAAAATGAAAACCTACTGCATGCATAAAAAATCAACAAAAATTAAAGCACAGTATATGTGCGAGACATTCACATTTAAAAATGACACTTTATAAAACAATGATTGATAAAAATATTGCTTTATCTAGACAAGTCAAACAACAGGCAATCTGATTTCTAACATGTAATTTACTGACTTGCAAATGGCAATCTGTTAAGTCATTTTTGTAATATATAAATTATCACTCCATAGATACACTGGTGTATAAACAGTCCTGATCATGTTTAAATTATACCCTGTTCATAATGACAGAAATTGCATACTATGTTATTAATGGAAGATAATTTTAAATAAAAATTACAAAAATGAAAAACATAAAATTCAAGAAATTCCATATTAACCCTCTAAACAATATGACTGCTTTTATTTGGTATCTTTATGTTAAGTACAGATTAATTTTTGTTATTTAAAATATTTCATTTTCTTATAGTCTTTAACGATATAACTATTATCCTGATGAATGGGAAATTATCAAAGTAAACAACAAAATAAGTAATTATATAAATTGAGTGGATAAATGCTGTCTTAATATAGCTCTTCAAAGTTAAGTCCAACAGGCTAACACAGTCAAGAAATTGCAATTACATACCTACCAACTTGAATAAATGTATATAGGTAAAATTTCAAATAAAGAATGGTTCAAGTTCAATTATGTTTCCAATATGTAACAGGTTTTAAAAGGCATACACATGTCATTTATGATAAAAATCAAATGTGCAAAATTTTGTAAAAATATCCCATAATTACATAATAATCATCATTAATAATTTATTTTCTGTTCTAATGCTGTATTTTCGTTAAGCAAATATAAAAACATTTTGAAAATCTGCGAAAAATTATGGACAACTTTTAAAACATAGAATTGGAAGTTTCTTAAAAAATAGTGAAATATATACCTGCATCAAAAGTTCATTTTCTTTAGCTAGTGTAATTTAAGGATTACTAGCATCTAGCTAAAACGATAAAAGAACTCAAGACACAGTTCTGGGCAATAATTATACATTATAAAATAAACTCAGTTAAATGGATATCCAATCTCCCCTGAAGTTATTTTTGAACTTTTATGAAAGGAAACGATGAAAAAACTAATTTTTTTGTCAAATTTTTGCTCAAAGCAGTATTAAATAATTACATAGGCTTAAATCTGTATAGTATCTACTGCTCCTGACTACAGTATTATTCACTGGGTTCAGGTTCCAGGGTCCCGAGAAGGCATAAAGTTTGTGCGGCATGGGGATATTTGAAGTAGACGGATGACTTGAGTGGTTTGGTGGAAAAAAGAAGAAAACCACGAGATCCTCGGACCTACTACCCCCTAGGTTATCTTGATCAAAATTAGGCGGAGCTGGTCAAAGTCACACGGTCAAATATACAGTGCTTGAGGCCCATGCCACAGACAGATGATATAATTTATGGGCTTGTTCTGGTTAGGTTAGATAACTGAAATAAGCCATGAGTGTAAAAACTTGTGTAATGGAGTCAAAAAAAAAAAAAAAAAAAAAAAAAAAAAAAAAAAAAAAAAGAGTGAAAATCTCGAAGTTTTTGGGATGTGTAAAGCTGGCAGGTGTGCAATTACTAACCAAAAGTTTATTATTTTTAGGCATAATTTTTAGATCAAAACATACTTTTCAAATAAGATTCACATGATAAAAATATCTTCAACTGAACTTTTAATAATCTCAATTTTTGTTAAATTTATGGTCAGCATATACGTGAATACAAAATTGTATTAAAAACCATAAGCCTAAAATATTAACTGCTCACAATAAAAAAAAAGCACATGATAAAAAGGAAAAAAAAATAAAGATGACATATAATACAAGAGATAACATAAAACTATGAAAACTTTCTTCCAAACATTTATACTACCATGTACAGTCCAAATACACTGATACCAATATATAATTACACAGTTAATCTCAAAAACACAAATACTATGCTTTGTCCATTCCTTCAATAAAATTATGAGCGAGTTTAGTTTATTAAAATATTTTTTATTCATTATGCAAAATCATTCTCAAATCAAATTCTTGGCAGAAAATATTAATCTAATATATCAATTTGATATTCATATATTAAAGATAATTTGCTATATCATCATATACAGCACATATGAATGACAACTGAAATCAAACTTGTAATTTTATAGCCACAGAAATTTAAAAGCATTAATTTGTATTAAGTAGGAGAAATCCTGTATTTATTAGTCACTGAAGAAATTTTCTTAAATGCAATTTTTAAGGTGGATGATTTATATGCAGTAAAACTAACTTTGTCACTGATACTTTCATAGTACAGAATGAAAATATGGTATAAAAGGAGAAATCACATTGAACACAGTTCAACAGTCAACAAAATATGAGCACTGTATGACGTTCATCTTCCTTGAAATGACTTTTCTTTAGTTCTAAAAGTGTAGTGATTTATGTAAAAGCAAAAATATATCAGGAGCTGATATTCTGCACATAAAATGCAGATAAATGATCTGAAGTCATGTCATGATACAGATGATATGGGGTTATGTGGTGAGCCCATCTGAGTGAGAACTTTATCTAACCACTGCAGAGGACCATGGAGATGAATTTCAATCCAGCAAGGTGTAGATGTCACATCTTGCCGATGGTACTCTGCTCCCCATCCTTTCACAAAGCTAGTACGAATTGTGCACATTTTGGTAAGTTCATAAACGGCTTCAAAGCCATGATTAACAGCTTCAGTCAAAAGATGAGCAAATTCCTAAAATATGGAGAAAATTAAATTAAGGGGAGAAATAAATTTATAAAACTGTTCAAATTCCAATTATTTAAACCATTTTTCAAATCTATAAAAAATTTTAAAAAAAACCATATCTAAATATTTCTGAAGCATAATGAAAAAATGAATTTCATAATATTTTAAGATGAATATTTCAAAAACACTAATTTGGCACTCTGAAATATGAACAAGGATCTGCTGAAACTGAAAATGAACAATTCTCAAAATCATACTTTGAATTTCATAATTTTTTTGTAAACTAAATCTTTATTAATTTAATTTTTTAAACTTATCAATATTGGATATATACATGTGATAGAAGAATATTTTTTGATTATTTAAAATGGCCACTGCCTGATACTCAGTACTTTTACCTTTTTCTTAATTTAGATTTCTTTAAATTTCTATTGCTGGAATAAACAAACAAACAGGGGGAAAAAAAAATTGCTGATTTCTAAACAAATGTTTCCTTCTGGTAATATGGTCTGACGAGTCTTTTTTTCACATTGTTTCCCACTTCTGGCCGAGTTTACGTCTGAAGAACGCCATCTCAAGCCTATAATACAGACTGCTTGCTGCCAAGAGTGAAACATGGCGGGGGTTCTGTTATGGTTTGGGCAGCCATATCGTGGTTCTTTGCTAACCCCATGATAACTGTCAGGGCACATGACTGCCAAGACTTATGTGAACATTTTGGCCGATCAAATTCATCCCATGGTACAAACTTTGTTCCCCGATGGTGATGGTGTCTTTCAAGACGACAAAGACCCTGTTCCCACAGCTCACATTGTCCAGGACTGGTTTTCTGAGCACGAAGATGAGTTGTTCCATCTCCCCTGGCCACCACAGTCACCAGACCTGAATATTATCGAACCTTTGTGGTCTACATTGGAACGGAAAGTGCGTTCTCGTTATCCACCCGCCAACATCGTTACCTGAAATTACCACCGTTTTGCAGGAAGAATGGTATAATATTCCCTTGGCAAACATACAGGAACTGTATTTATCCATTCCGAGAAGACTACAAGCTGTTTTGGATGCCAACAGGTTTTCTACACCATATTAAGCAAAGAAACATGTTTAAAGGTGTTTCCATATTTTTGTCCAACCCCTGTACATGCGATGTTTAACTATGAATGAGATACAGTACTGCCAATAGCCCTTTGACAGATTCTGCTCCATATGCATCTAGAACATGACTGATAGGTATTCCAAGAATATTACGAGACAATAATTTCAGTTATTTATATTCACTTCATATACCAATAGTTAAAATTCAGGTTTAAAATTTAAAGCTATACATAAGCTAGATTTAAAAAAAAACACGACTAATACAAAATCAATCCTTTCACAATCAGTAAATAGGACTATTTATGAAACCTAGAAACATTATACGTAATTTTACAAAATCTCTACACATTTCATTTGATATTTTCAAAAGTTGCAAGACTTGACAAATCTAGCATATTCTTATTATTTTTATATATAAAAAATATGAAATAATATATAAAAATAATGAAGGTTTACGTGACAATAAGCATAGCAATGGAAAAATATGAACATCACTATATTTATACAATAAAAACACTGTAATGCCATATGGAACTTTAAACTGTCAAAAGAAAAGCTACACTACAGCGAATTTCCTATGGTTACAGAAGCAGAGAGAAATGGGTGAGAAGGAAAGCGATAAAATACTCTAAAAGCAAATAGCTGTGCAAAACCCCAAAAGTTATAATTTATTTTGATGACATTTTAAGTACAATCAGCAAGTGTTTGTGCAACATAATTAGGAAAACTTTAAAACATCAAGCAGCTTTCACAATCTAAGAATTAATATTATACATTAATCAATCATCTGTACACAGACATGCATGTAAATAACTTTCATAATAATTATCAAAATCTCACTAACTGTATTCACAATTATTTTATATATTTCTCCGGGATAATTTTAACACACATGGATTTCTTTAATCAGTTAACATGGTTATATATGATACTTGGAAGCATTTTACTGAATTTAGAGACTATATCTTACCTCTGACATTTTCATTTACTGTTAGACAACACAGATTTGGCATCAGATATTCCCAGTATTTTTATTTCTACTCACAAAATTCATTTATAGCAATAAAATTTTAAAAACAGTTTTGATTTTAAGTTTACTAGAAAGTGACTTTTTGGTGGGAAGGAAGTATAATGAATCAATTTTTAAAGTAATGTTTATTTCCTTTTAATTCATTCTTATTACAAAAGTTATGAAATTTCACTAATTTTTATTCAAATGACATATTCCTAGATTTTCTAGATACTCAGATTTAACTTCACATAGTTCAGAATGTGACTAATTCAGTTGGCTCATAGATGACTTAATTAGTATAATGAATTTTACATTATAGTTTGTATTAAATAGTAAGTGGGTATTCAGAGTGAGTAAGCAAAATTTCTGCAAAAGCATAAAATAAAAATATCTTTATATTATTATCCTGCTGCAAATTTTACAAATTCTTGGCTAAGAGCTAATTGCTATTTTCATTCAGTACAGAATATATATAACATATCTTTAATTTAGTATTTTAACTTACATTTTAAACCTGTACGTTTTCTAGTTAAATATTTAACATAAAAAATCTTTCAATCAAATATAAATAACTCACTTGATTGTTGAATATTTTTAAACTACATCCAGGTGGTATTTTACAAACAGTGGTGGGATGAAAGCCATGAGAATGATTACAGTTTCGACTTTGTACAAAAATGGCACTATCACTAAGGCATTCTGCATAGACTTCTCCTCCAACATAATAAAGATGGATACCTGTTAATATCAGTCAATATTTAACAGTATATAAAACAAGCAAAAATTCTATTTTACATCAAAATAGTCACATTTTATTACACTTTCAAAATGAAGTCCCAAGAAACCCAGGATTACTAATTAATATAATGCTACAGCTGCAATCATGATGAATCTTTTATACTATTTCCCTCCACTGATGATATAAAAATGAATTGACCATGAAATCACAGGGGGGATTTGAAAAATGGTAATTAGTCTTATGTGAAGAGTCACTAGTTGTCTTTCAGAGGTTCTCAACCTTTTGACTAACGCATACCATCTTAAAAAAAAAAAAAAAAAAAAAAAAAAAAAAAAAAAAAAAACCTTTAGCGTGATTACTACAGCCACCACACTCTTGAACAAAGCTCAGATCGCATAAATTTAAGAATGCAAGAGAAAAAACTCAAATCAGGATGTTGGGGTTTTAATTTTTGAAATTAATAGTTAAAAATATTTTGCTTCTTTCCATACCATCGGTTGAGAACCCCTGGTCTAATTGCATGCTCCCAAAGAAAACCAGATCCTATAAGGCATAATTTCATATTTTTAGTTTTGGACTAACAGTTCTGTTTTTCACTGCAGAAATTTTATTTAAAATCAAATGAACTAATCTAATGAATGAATTTACTATACATTATTAGAGCACAAAGTCTCATAGTTATTACTTAACTGACAATTTTAAGAATTTTTCTTCTACTATCAGTCAACATATTTTAGATTTAAGAATGAATAAAAAATTCAGTTCATGTACACATACTAAAACTACGAATGAACATGAAATCTAACCTTTTTTTTCTTTTCCAATGGCAGATTGTGAACAATTACAAATGTAACCCAGTCCATTAATCTACACACGGTCGGATGTGGTGGTCTCTTTATTATGGAGGCACCTAATAGGAGGGCCACCATTGCCTTTCCTATGAAGGCACAGACAGTTACAACCATGCCTTCTCCGGGATTCGAACCCAGGCCCTTCGGCATCGCAGTCAGCTTCCCTGAAAAACCATACCGACTGGGTGGCAGGAACTCTAACCTTGAGCATGACACTCAATCTGTGAACACAAGTTGGCATAAAATCCGATAACCTACTTACAGAGGCAGATAATAAAAACTTCATACCTGAACATCATCGCAAGAATTTCATATTTCAGCACGATTTGGCACAATATCTTACAATCTAATACAGAAGCAGATGTTAGCATTATAAAAAATTTATCCCTAGGCAAGCCAAAAATTAGTTACACTTTGTCATAACTTTTCTTACATAGCACACGTCTTCTGTCCTCAGATATTTTATTGGTATACTGTTGCGATAATGCTGTGAAAGCTTGATCTTAATTCCTCTATTTTTCTTCCTTTGGTTGCAGATATATCATGGCTGCTCCATTAGAAGTTTGCACCAAAGAGGAAAAACGAGCAGTGATCCTCTTCGTCTGGTCAGAGGATGCAAAGGGTCTGACATGAATAAGCGAATCACTATCGATGAGGTATCTGCTTTGAGCATCAGTCATGGCTCTGCCCATCAAATCATCCATGATGAGCTCGGTTTTCATAAAGTCTTTGCACGGTGGGTACCAAGAAAGCTTACTGCAAGCTCACTCACGTTAGGGTCTGTCAACACTTTGTGAAAACACAGTTTTATGTGAAGGTGCACTTCTCCCATATTGCAATGATAGTCTGACCCTTTGACACCGTCCGACCACAGGAATCGGATCACTGCTCGTTGTTCCTCTATGGTGCAAATTTCTAATGCAGCAGCCATGATATATCTTCAACAGAAGGAAGAAAAATGGAGGAATTAAGATAAAACTTTCACAGCATTACCACAAGAGTATAACAATAAAATATGCAAGGTCAAAGACAAAGTGCGCTACGTAAGAAAAGTTATGAGGAAAGTGTAGACAATTTTTGCCTTGCCTTCGTATCTGAACCCTGCACGAATTTCATATCTGGAAACGGTTTGGCACAAAATATTAGTCTAATGGAAAAGCAGATGTAAGCATTACACGAATTTTTACACCAAGATACATGCACATATTTCAAAGATTCTTCATAATAATAAAGGCAAGCAAAATTTTTTCACGAAGGAAGGGATAATTTGTTTTTAAGCAGAAAGCAAAAATTATCAAAAGAGCAACGAGCAAGCTACATGTCTAATATTCTAACAGCTAAATGTATTATTGTAGGAGTTAAAGCTATAAGAGTTAGTATAATTTTTGTAAATTTGCAGGACTAATTTTGAAGGTTTTAACACAGAACCTTCTTAAAGCTGTAGAAAAGCAAATTTCACCTAAAGAAGTTCTATATTTAAACCTCTGAAACTAGTTCTGCCAAATTTACGAATATTATGCTGTTTTAACTCCTCCAATAATCATTATTGAATATGTTACTTTATATGGAAAAGTTGAATGAATATTTCAGCTGGTTTAAATTTGCTAGTTATTTCAACTTGAAACTCGCAATGAAAGCTGCAGCAATCGTCTTCACACAGCGTTCATTTTTAATCTATTTTAATCATTTTTAATTTTAAATACAATAAAGAACACCACTTCAAAAACTCACATAAAATCCAAACTTACCTTTGCCTATATGTCGCCGAGTGTTTTCAATAGTGGAATTTCTATTAACATTAGACAAAAGTCCCAAGCAAAATCGACTTTGGTTATTAGATGGGTCTGTGAAACCATCCACTACTATACTATGATTCTGAGCATGGAACACTTCACCGACACGTGAATTCAACTCGTAATATGCGATGGAACACCAATATTGAGGCTCCTGATAAGTGACTGGGGCAACATCAGGGTCTGAAAATAACAAAATTACATACAAAGAAAAATTAACAATTTCCAAAAAAGTAAGTTTAACTGGGTTTAAATTTCAAATAAAACGTATTTCATGTTTTCAACAAATAAACCTTTCTTCTATTTAAAAAAAAAAAAAAAAATTCCTCTGGCCATGTATGTTTTTTGATTTTAAAGAAGACGGACTTCTTCCATTTCAAGAAATTAGAAGATAAAACAATTCTTAAAATGTATATCCTTTCTTTGATAATAATGTTTTACATCTAAAAATATTTTTTTTCTTCCAACCCTTCTTGTACGAAGCAAAGAAAGTACTATAATCACGAATAATTCTGGGTATCATATTTCAATGAAAATATCCATTTTAACCACTATCCAATGCAATTTAACGATATTTTGGTATTACATCTGTATGTAAGGACAGAATAAAGGACTCTTTTCTCCCAAAACGAATTATAAAACTGATTTAAAATGGATTCAGAAGAGACTTTTTCGTGGTGTCTGTACTACGTATGTGTCTTGCGTAACTGAAAAACAAGTAGTCCCAGAACATTGAAATTTTGTACACACGACTGCTTTAACATGTAGTTGTGCACCTCTCTTTTTGGTTGCAAATGGCCACACCTGAATTATAATGATCTTCTCTTTTAGTTAAGATTTTTATGCTTTCAATTAATCTGCATGCAATAGTTGTAGAATTATCAACAATTTAAAAGTTAAGTGCAGCTAAGCCTTTTTTTTTTTTTTTTAACCCATAGCAGCCATATTTTTTTACATTTGAAACTTAGCTGAATAATGAATTCACCTTCTGCCCTTTGTGTCTTTCTCCCAAGTTGGACCAAAATTGAACTTTCATTTTTGTGCACCAAAAAATCTGCCTTGTTGTCTGCTGGCTCAATTACTTGTTTTTGCGTAGAAACTAATTTTAATTGCAATTTTTTTGTTTTCACTGTATTTGGTGGTCCCCCCCCCATATTTTTCAATTTTTAATGAAGATATTTTAAGGTTTTATGTATTTTTGCCTTGCCGCGAACAGAGAACAGAATTAATTGAATGAGAAATATACCTCTAACGAAATTTGAAGAAACAAATTTAAATGAAATTCAGCAAAAAGGGCTGAATTCTGCATAATTTAACATAAGGAGACAATGTGATGTACACATCAGATTTTTTCTATAAACACAGCACTTGATTTCCACTCTCACTAATTTTAAAGGAGCTCAGAAGTTGCATGAAGTGTTTGTTCCTCTTTGATCATACAAAACTATTTCAGATAAGGCCATTTCTAACTACTTTTACTATATATGTATCAAACTGTAAAAAACAGCACCTTTAGTTAGAAGCTATTTGGGTCTCTCATAAAGAAAACCAATCTATCATAAATGAACTTCATTCTCCACCCTTTTATATGGGGGAGGTAATACAGTCAAATACCTGAAATCCGCATTGCCTCTCAAAATATAAACATTCAGTTTATAGATTCAGGCAACCACGACATTGCGTACGAAATATCGAAGAAAAAATACTTACAGAATAATAACGAGTCATAACGGAAATACCAAATTATTCATATCATGATAAAAGTTTTTTCCCCCTCTAATCTTCATCGAGGTAAAAAAGCAAACGATTCACTCAACTCTTCTTTCAAGTTCACGATTCACATTGTTGTATTTTCTGAGCTTTGTTATTTCACAAGAATATTTAGTGCTGCCTTTTTTTCATTCGGATATTTTATGGATAAATTAAGAATATTTTAAATTTTAGCCCTTTTTAATACAGTTACAGATTAGAAATGCACTCATGATTTTACTGCTTGCAGCGTTAAAAAACGTAAACACGTTGCTTTGACGATAATGCAAAAAGTGCAAATTCTGCAAAAGATGGAGACAGGTGCTACTCCTGGGTTTATAGCAGAATCGTATGGAATTGCGATTCGATTGGATATGATATACGGAAAAATAACGAAAAGCTGTTGAAATTTTACAGCAACAGTGATTCTAACACTGAAATCCGAAACCGGAAATCTTTGCATGAGGGGAAATTGGCAAACCTCGATGCTGTGTATATATATAATACAATGAATAATATAATCAATTTATATATGTAATAATAATTTAATTAAATGTATCTAATACGCCTTATTAATTTTGCATTTTTAGTCTGAATATTATGATTTATCTTTTCTGTCCTGAAATCCACAAAATCCTAAAATCTGCACAACCTCTGGTCCCAAGCTTTGTGGATTTCTGGAATTCTATTCTACTTCATCAGGCTCTTCTAAAATAGTTCCAAATGTTTTAAGAAAAATATTAAACGGAAGAGAATACAATCATGCAATCAATGTCAAAGAATTACTTCATGCTAAAGCTAAGCAGATAAAAACAATATCTTCACATACTTTCATAATTTTTAAGTTTCTTACTTAGCCAAAAAGCTATCGTAAATCTTCTAAAAAACATTCCTTTTCTTTTTTCCCTCTGGTTCACTGATTCCCGAAGTTATAGTTGTGACAAAAATTATTTAAATTCTGAAGATTCAACCCTTACAAATAAATTTCCTTTTAACCCTTTCCAGCACGCTATGTTTAAAGTTGGAATTTCGATATAAAAAAAGTAAGCAGTTTAATTAGGCCTGGAGGAGTACACAGGTAAAATTTTGTAAAGAATGCACTTATCATTTTAATTCTGCCGCTTCAGGCACACTGATTGAATAGAGCTTCGAAAAGAGTGCTGAAACGAGCGTTGCTGGAAAGTGCGTGAAAGAGTAAGAGATTTTGCATACAATTAAAAAGCACTAGATTCTGAATACCATAGCAGATTTAGCATTACCCAGGGTGTGCCACGGGGAGATCTGCTACTTTACATCCCCCCCCTAAAAAGCTCATTATGGGTTATATGATGATTACATGCTTATGAATGGGGAAAAAAAAAAAGGTAACTTGGCTATATGATATTTACATTTCATATTTACACTTTAGTCTATTTTCTTCATTGTGGTACTTTTCGAAGAAAGTGATTATATTGATATTGGGTTGATATAGTGATTGATATTGGGTTGTGCTTTTTTAAAGGTGGTTACCTTTAAAAAAGCACAACCCAATATTGCACGTTTTACACATGTGCTGGGATCCGTATCAGATTCACTATCTGAAAGCAATTCGTGTAGCACTTTCAGTGCTTTAGAAATGCTCAGCCCTCTCCGATCCATTTGGAAAATAATTAAAAATCTGAAAAAATAAACTAATATTATATCTACAATTTTAAATTATAATTTAAATCTACAATTTTAAATTATAACTATAAAATAAAAATGTCTACAAAACTATTACACGTAGTGCTAAGAAAATTTCTTTGAACCAAACCGAAAGAAAACTGCTGTAGTGAAAAACCAAACAGCTCATTGATAAAATTATCTCCAGAAAATCACCATAACAATTTCTTAGTTGACAACCAAACCTCCCCTCCTTACCCCCCCAAAAAAAAACAGGAAATGAAGCACAGATGGGGACCCACTTTCCTATGTTGATGAGCTGCAAAGAAACAAAGATAGAGCTGTCTCTCAGTGGCCTAGACTAGCAGTGAGCCCAGTCTGGGAACACCTCGGTTCGCCGTTCGATTTTAGGCAAAATTTCAAGATAAAAACTTAAAACTAATATAGAGGAAGGAGATAAGCATACAGCCAAAAAAAAATAACATAGAAATTTCCTTTCAAACAATTCCTTTTATACCCTAAAAAAATTCTGGAAAATTTCTGAAAAATGAGGGTCTTAAAAAAACAAACTAAACATTGCTAAAAAATATACGGACTGGTTTGTGTTGAGCTGCCATCCACTATAAATAAAAGAAGGCTCAGAGTAACCTATAGTAACCTTCAAATCCTTTTTCATTCAATTTTTTTGTGCATACAGAAGGAAATTTTTAGGTGTGCCGTAGCAAAGGATTAACCGTTTGACTGCCGTAAAAGCAAAGGATTAACCGTAAAAGTGCTGCATTCATTTGTCTCGAAAACCGCGATGCAGTTCAGTATGTCTTTGTTGCTTTATAATACAAAAAGAATTATTAAAATTGATTGATATTTGTCTAAATGAGAGTGTTTTATTTGACAACATCAAGTCAAAATATGTCCTGCAGTTTTCGTGCATTCTTGCAAGAATTGCTTAGCAGTCAAACGGTTAAAGTAACAGAATCCATCTTTCTTTATCTTAAGCCTCTAACAAGAAATTTAAAACAAATCAGTTTTATATGACATTCTCTTGCCCAATATGTCTTCGTGTGTCAAATGCTTATTGTAAAGGTGTTTTCACATAAAGGACTTTCTTCCTTTAGTGAAATCGGTGCAAGTTTTAGAACAGCAGAGATATTCTACTGGTGATATTTATAATGAATGTGCATTTTTAAGTAAGACCCCAGAGCTACATTCTTTTCATATTTATAACAGACATTATAAAACAAGTAAGAAATATATTAAGAGTAGAAGCTAAAATTGTCTTTAAATTTACTTGGAAAGAGTCAATGAAAAATAATTTTTCTAAATCACTAAAGATCTGAAAAATCTGAAATCCAAATTTGTTTCTTGTCCCTTCTAAATTGCAAGAAAAGTGCCACCTGTCAGTCAAAATTGGAACTACTACTTTTTATTAGTTCCCCCTCCATGGTCCATATATTATATATACCAAGTTTCAATGAAATAGTTCTACCAGAACAGGTCTAAGTAGGAAAACTTTAACTACTATACACATCCAAAAATTTTTTAACTGACAATTATATATAATTACATCTACATACATCTTGAAATGTATCAAGACTTTAAAAATGTTTATTAGAATGAACAGATTTTAGGCATAAAACAGATGTTGCATTTTAAGGATTTCCAGAAAAAAAAAATTATGGCATTTCTAGAAACTTTGGAAATTTGGGGAGATAAATCTCTGGACAGTTGACATGCTTTTACAACTTATTAATATACAGTTGACCTATAACAAACACTTTTATTTAAAAAACAGAACTTTGTCTACTTAAATTTGCTATTTTATTAGTAAAAATTACTTTTCAAAAAATGATGAGTAATACTACATTTTAAGAACAATTTTAGATACTTTCTTATTACCTGCACCCCACTGAAAAGTAGTATAAAAGTATTCATGAGATAAAGCAGTAAAAGCAACCTATAGCATCACTAAAAATATTTATGTTGCAACCCAGGTATGTATGCAGAAGGTCTGTTTAGGCCAATGCCTAATATTAAAGTTGTATGATATTGGATTTGTGCAATAGTGATTTCCTTTAAATGAAAATAGATTGTTGTGCACAAGGGAAGAGTAACAACACAGGGAAAAAAAAAAAAAAAAAAAAAAACCAAGTACACAGCACGCCTGTTTTAGACAAAGAGCGAAGCTGAAATTGTACAATGCTGAGTTTGAGCAATTCTGACTAAGTGAAAACAGATCGTTGTATTCATTAACAGAACAAAAGCTCAAAAAAGAAGGATTTCTTAAAAAAGTTTCATTACCGATGTTTCTTGGTTTTTAAATTTTAGTGCCTGCTCCAATATGGAAGTCTTAGTATGCTACTGTTTTAAAAATAGCTTTCATACGTTGGCAAAAATTAATCACCAACTAGTTTGTGAATGCTGTCCAAAGTCATCAATGCAACTTTTCTTGGGGATGCAGATAATCAGAAAGTGATTTTGAAATGAAAACTGCATATAACACCTATCACTTTTACAATGAGGATAAGGGAAATTGGATCTTTAGATAAAATATCTGATATAAGATCTCTTAAGATAAAATATCTGCTAATAATTTAGACTAAGAAATGAACACTTTTTTTCTTCTTACACTTTCATTCAAAAATGTACACCTAGCACAAAAAAATCAGACAGTCCCCTGTTCTACTGGACTGATTTTCAAAATTTAACCTGCGTTTTCCACATCTCGAAAGCGTGACTTAGAATATGTATTAGATTTACATATAGCATTGTTCTAACATAGGTTATTTTGACACAAAATCGGACTTTTTCTGAAATAACATACAATTCCCCTCCCTACTATTTCGATTCTACAACTGAAACAATGCCAAAGTGCCAAGTTTTGTAATAATGGCACGAGTAGCTGTTTAAAAAATTAGCTCTCAAAATTTTAGCTCCTCCATGCTAGTTGAATTTGGTATATATTTATTAATATCTCTGTTTTATAATACTTATTCAATTCTTACTTTCACATGTCGAAATTTTGGTTCATTCTAAATAAAATTTACCTATTTTTTTATGATTTATTTTAATAATATGTAGTTTTAAGTAATTTTTATAAATGTTTTAAAAAATATTTTGAATAACCTTTAAAAATTTGAATTATAATCTATAAAATATATACCATCCTTTTAAAGTAAATGTATCTCTAAGCATACCTGCAAAAAATTAAGAGTTTTATTCAAAATTTTCTAAAATATATGAGAATTTACATACTAGCATGTTCTGAAATTTGGCATATTTGTTATAAGCGACAATACCACCAAATGTGGCTTATGCAGTTTGCTAAAACTGTTTGAAAGTATGAATGATGGCTTTTTTCGCTTGTGTACAATGAAAAAAGAAAAGTAAAATAGGTTGCTAAAAATTAAGAAGTTCACCAAATGAATTATTTTCGCCGCAGACTGGACAAATGCTCAAAAATAGAATTTTAAATTTCTCACCAAAAATTACAAAATTTAATATCTAGACATAATTTGAGTCGGAGAACTGAAATATGGAAAAAAATTGGTATGTTATTTCAGAAAAAGTCCGTTTTTGTGTCAAAATACCTATGTTAGAACAATGCTATACATAAATCTAATATATATCCTAAGTTGAACTTTCGAGAGATGGAAAACGCAAGTTAAATTCTGTTAATCGACCCTGTAGAACTGTCTCCCCCCTTTTTTTGGTGCAAAGTGTACAAGTTGGAGACTCAATAATTTATGAAGAATTTTACACAAATGAATGTTGTTTTTACTTAACACTTGCCCAATGCATAATTTCATTTCAAAGCAGATATCTGCAATTTTTTAACTTACTTTTTAAGAATTAAACAAACTTCAAACAATATCTGCCACAAAGTGAAACACATTCATCATCTTATGACATACATCATAACAAAACATTTGTATACCTGAAGGCAGAGCAGCAGTATCCATTGTCTGATGATTGCTTTCAGATCCATGCTGACTATCATCTTGAGGACTATAGGCAGGTGGAGGAGTTTCTGAATATAGGAAAAAATATCTTAAAAAGAAAGCTGCATTCTACAGAAATAGATGAAATTTATGCTTACAAAATTTGCAGCGAAATTCAATATGCTAAATATGGAAAAAATTTAAATGCTGCATTTGAAAAGTTAACTTTTCAAACACAACACACATCTCTTTGTTTCAGAAAAACAAATATTTCAAATAATTTTTCTAACTGGTTTACCAATTAAAAAAAGATGCACAATTCTTCCATTCTTTTGTGGGGAAAAAATTAGAAATTGTTTTCAACTAATCAGCATCATCATAATTGAAAACCAGTTTCCCCTTTACGTGGTAACCCCAAAATGATCTCTGGTGATTTTTTCTGATCTTGTCCCAAAGCAGAAGAAATGCACTAAGCGTGATACGGCCTTTACCAATCAGCCTTAAACTTCCTAAAAACATATACAGTACAAAGTCTTTAATCCGGACGTCCAAAATTCAGAATGATCTGTAATCCGGACCTCAAAGCTACAAAATTTCTGCACATGGGCAAACGCATAATGTATTTATGCATGCGCATAATACCTTTGCGCATGCACATATGCGTTTACGCATGCACATTTAATGTATAACGGACGGTATAAGCTAGGCTAAAATTATCTATTTCAGTTAATGTTGCAGATTGTGTTGTTCCTTAATCTTCTAATTGGATCCGGCTTATTATTTTTTGCAGACTGTTAGAGCAATTTTATAAAAAGTAAGCTTGAACTTTCAATTATGTCAAATAGAGCTTCCGATTCTGGAGGTGCTAAAGGATCTACAAAGCGAAAGGATGTTTCAATGTACTGCTTCTGATAGTGAAGAAAGTGACACTGTCTAATAGTTTTTTCAAATGATTTTCAATTTTTCTGAAAATGGAACATCTCTATTTCATACTTAAATATAAACCACACACAAGTTTAATATTTTAATAGGGTGTCTGAAATTCATTAATACTGAAATCTAGAACTACAATTACATCAGAAAAGCTATACCACCGCAAAAACTTTAAAAAGTACATTTTACTGTATAAATATAAATTTGGCAAAGGAGAAAATATTCTACAAAATTTTCAGCATAAAATGTAAATTTTCTTTTTTGAATAATTATAACTTTATTTAATACTTTCAAATTAGTCAATATATTCTGTGCTTTTGATTTATTTGTTTGTTTAAAGTAAGAAAACATAGCAGTTTTCTTTCAGATTTTGTTGTGTTCAGGAATCAATATTAATAAACATCTAAAAAAAAAAAAAGGATACCACTGTCTCTAACCAGTACTTTATTTTCTAACATACATTTATCATAACCCCATGGCAATTAATATGTGTAAGTTACATTACACACCTATTTTCTCTTTTCCTCAATTATCCTAGATAAGCAACCACCATCTTATTCTTCTATCTGATAAAAGATTCATTGATGGAATTTCAGATTCTATATGGTTATTAATAGATTTCAATAAGAAGTCTTCAGAAGTAAAAGAACAAATTTCCCAAAATCTGTTGCTTCTTCTAGCTCAGTTTCAAAGAATAAAAGTAAAATATTTTAACAGTAAAAAGATCTCAGTTTTGAGATGCACACATTCTTTTCCTCCCCATCACTTTTTCTTCTTCTCTCTCTCTCTTTTTTTCTTATTTCTTCTACAGTATTCTTAAATTCTAGATACAGTACAAAATCCATGATCCGCAATCATCAGGGTTTCAGCAATTCTGAATTTAAAGACCATCAATTTATATCTAGTCAATTTATATACTATATGTAGAAATTTAAAAAATGAAATGGTTGTTTATAAAATACTGAGACTTAATATTTGTTTATCATATTTAACATTTCTTTAAATACACGTTATTTAAACTGTTTTGTTTTAATACTTTCTCTTTAATTTGTTTCCTTTCGAGTTAAAAAGGTACAATGTTCAAGTCCTGCAATTGCTATGCGCAGAATTCATACCAAACTGGCAATCGAAATCTTAATTCTCAACAATTTCTTTGTCACTACTAGTAGCAATATTTTCTAGATTTAAAACCATACTACAGATTCTACCATCTGTTAGTTGATTGATGATTGGAATACTGCCATCACAATGACAAACACCTTCATTCATTACCACTTCACCAAATCTCTTCATAAATTCTCCTAACTGAAAAATTTCAATTTTTTGCTAGCCTTATATTCATGACTCTCATCACCACCGTAAAATAATATAGCTGGACAAATTTTGTCAAGCTTTTTTAAAAATATCTCCAGACACATTCTTCCATGACCTTGTAATGGGTTCCAGCACTATTATGTTAAAATATTATTTTAAAAAATTCTTTAGATGGTCTTGCTGTCAGAAAATTTATTTGCATTTTATTACATACAGCAATAGAAGGGGGGAAAAAAGAGAGAGACAGATTTCATGTAAACTTTGCGCAGGAATCTCAATTAATCCGGAGAAAAACTGTGTTTATGACATACCTATTTTCCTTAAACATTATACTCTCCATTCCTAAAACTGTGCAAGGGGGGGATTCTTATTTTCTTTTCTGGTGGTTTCAGGATTCTTATATTAGATTTCTTGCATGTACTTCAGCATATTAGACATCCAGATTTTGGATTTTGCATTATACAGTCAAAAGTCGTTAATCCGGACTCGTCGGGACTTCGGCGATTCCGGATAATAGATCATCAGTTTAAATCTCTTAAGATGGCATGCAGAAATTCTAAAATTAAAAATATGAAACTGTAATTTATGAAATAAAGAACAATTATGATCTAAAGGGTATCAAAATTTACAAAAAAAAAAAAAAAAAGAAAAAAAAAAAAAAGAGCTTAATATTTATTGTTTACTTTATTAACATTTCTTTCAATGTAAGTTGTTTAAATTGCTTCATTTTATATGATAATACTTTCTCTTTAATTCTATAAACAGACATAATTTCTTGTTCAGTTACAAAGTTCCGCTGTTCAAGTCCCGTAATTGCTGTGCCGTGAATACCGACTAACTTGTCAATCGAAATTTTTTCGTTTTTACTAACCTCTCTGTCACCTTCTTCATGTCTTTATCCATTTTTTGCAGCAATTCCACTTTTTGTTTGATGGACATTGAAACATACTTTCGTTTTCTAGATCCTTTGGGAGCTCCAGCATCGGAAATTCTATTTGACATAATCGAAAGTTCAAGTTTACTTTTATAAAATTGCTCTTACAGTCTGCAAAAAATAATAAGCCAGATCCAATTCAAAGATTAAGGAACAACGCAATCATAAACATTAACTGAAATAAATAATTAGATAATTTTAACTTATACCGTCTGTTACACATAAAACAGCGCAAGCGAAAACGTATTCTGCGCTTGCGCACACGCGCAGTCGTAAAAAGGTCTTACGCGCACGCATAAACGCCTATGCGCATGTGTCAACGCGGCGCATGCGCAGAAAGTTTTTAGCTTTGAGGTCCGGATTATGGGTGTCCGAATTAACGACTTTTGACTTTGGGACATATGCATACCAAAAAATCCACAATACAGTTTACTTTTAATAAAAAAATTCAAACAAACTCAATTTAAATAAAACGAACAAAGCTTACTAACTGGCTGAGAGAGAGTTTAATTTTTACTATAATTAAAGTTTTAGTCAATAAGAAAAATGCAATACCAGATAGGTCAAATGGACTGCTGGGTGCTGAATTATTTATGCTAGTACCAGGTGAGGGAACACTGATTCCTGAAGACACTGATAATGAACTTGACAAAGCTGTGCTGCTTGGTGAAGGAGTTGTAAAACCTTGAGGGGAAAAACTGACATTTTGAGGCATAGCTGTATCAGTTACTTGTGGAGAAAAAGCAGTCAGCATAGGATGGCCTGGAGGATATTCACTATGCCTTGGTACCAGAACAGGAGGCAATACTAAAAATGAAACAGATAAGTTTAAAGTATGAAGCAAATTAACATTTAGCCTTGGAATATTTGCATCTAGTTCATTAATGTATAACAACAAAACTAATGTCATATGGCATAAAATATTAACACTAACTTCAATTTCTATATGAAATTGCAAGTACAATAATAGCAATAATACTTTTCTTGGATAATCAATCTATATCACAAAACTTTGAAAATAACACTAATTAACAAAAAAATTCGCAAAAACTTTTTACAAGAAAAGTCTAACTTTGGGGAAGAGGGGTGTATACAAGCAGTTGTGTTTCTTGTTTAAGGAAAATTTTAAAACCAAAATTCACTTGTATTTGTTACTAAAATGTTATCTATACAAAAAACTAACTGATGAACTCCTGCCCTCATACAATTGTTTTTTCTCTGAATAGCCGTCCTAAAACTTTCTGAAGAATGCATAGCTTAATAAGAAATAAGGCAGTAAAACATACCAAAAGCTATAATCACATACCTACTTAAAATGCACAATATAGTTATTACAAATAATCTGCAAAACTTACCAGCTATTTATAAACTACTTTGCTTAGCTCCATCTACTCATAAGATACCCAACTCAATATAACTGAATTCACCATACACTTATGTTAAGATACAGCATAAGAAAAACATCTTGCCATGGTCATTTCAAATTATAAACTATTCATATATTTTGTTGAGGAACTAATACTTTCAAATCCACATGAAATTCTTACAACACCATAAGAATTTTATCAGTCATCAGAGAACTGTCACTATAAGAATTTTATATTGTGTATTTTTATTTTCATCTGAGATTAGAAGTCGTAACAAAAACCATCATCAGCAAGCTTTTGAATGTTCAACTTATAAGAGTTCATTTTTGCACTTTCTGAACAAATGTTAAATGTTTAGAATTCTTTTTTAACATGCTGGCTTTGAAAGAGGGCAAAAATGTACAAGAAAAAAATGTAAAACCATTTTCGATTCTATACAGCTGAAGATAGGTCCTAGAATATTTAAAGTAACAGAAAGGCAGTTTTCCTATTGCCCAAAATTCTTTATGATTTGTAGCATGTAAATGTTATGCTTCCCAAAACTGTGTCGTTTCTTAAATTTAAAAAAAAAAAAAAAAAAAAAAAAAACTCAAGCTACCAAAGTGCTTTACCAAAAGTTTATTTACTTGGCCTGTAATGGACTAACTACAGCAGATATTTTCAATTACTTAGTTATGTATTCACAGAAATTATTACCATTCTTTTTAATAAGATGTGATTCTGATATTTTAAACATTAACAAAAACATGCCTAAAGCATTAACGAGTGGTTGGAGTGTGACGTCAACGAACCTGGCTTCGAACGCTTGACAGATGACGAAATTGTGAAGAAAGCAAGGGAAGAGACCGAGAATGAAGTACAGCGAAGTGAAGGTGAAGAAGAGCCCACTGTGCAGATGCGGAAGACTCACGAAGCGGCTTTGCAACAAGTTGACGGACTGCTGAGCTACTTGGAAGAACAAGACGACGGGGAGTTGGCTGAGAAACTTATGCTACGAAAAATGCAATCTCGGATCAAGAGAAAATGCTTCCAAAGCAAGAAGCAAACACGAATGACTGATTTCTTCAAAAAGGTGTAGTTTTACAGTTATGCTTCTGTAATTACATAATACATTACAGTATTAAAACAGTACATATGTATTAATTTTTTCATGTATCCTTGACGCCTCTCGTAAGTACAAAGCACTTTTCTCTTTTCATTAACAAATTGCATTTTAGGTTAGTTTTGAGCGATATACTAAAATATTAAGCGTTAGTTAAACATTTCCTGCTCTTAATTTTACATTTTATTGTACATAAAACGATTTTTCAAAGTTGGAATCACTGTTTTCTGTTTCGCTATACCCGTTTTTAGCTTTTTTCAGATTATCCGCGATTTTTGTCGTCCGCGGCGGCTGCACCACCCAATTCCACGGATAATTGGGAGTGTACTGTATGCCTCATGTTTCTTAACGCGAAACTTTAAGGCTCTCTTAGTTTGGCCAATGTAAATTAAGCCACACTGGCAAGGAATCCTGTAAATACCCCAGGAATTCATATCCGGAATGGGGTTCTTGAGTATGGAACTCGGTATTTTATTGATGGGAGAATAAACAACGCAAAAGTTAAATTTCTGTAAAATACATGCAACTTTATAGCTAATTGATGGAAAGAAGGAAATGACAACAGAATGTTTATGATCTCCTAAAACAAAAGTGTGAATTTTGATATGTTGAGATGATAATTTTTGAACTGCTTGATTAATAATGGTAGGTGAAAAGCTCCTGTCGATAGCTATTGCTTATAAATAATTTAGTTCTTCATCAAGGGATAGTTTGGAAGAGCAAACTTAAAGAGCATAGGAATAAAATCAAGCTAACTTTTCTTTCATCGGATGATATGATTTGAAGTGCGGTGGAAGGCAAACCGATGAAGGTTAACGGTAAACCGTAGTACTGAAGTTGAATGTGTTACGTGTGACCAGAATGTAAAAAAAAAACTGCAAGTCCCATACCGGGAAGTTTAAAGTTTCAAACAATTCTGATTCATAATAATGCATGTAGATATCAGCCAGGATGGGACTGAGGGGGCTTCCCATGGCTAGTCCATCAATTTGCTTGTAATTATTTATTTTGAAAAACAAAATGCTTTGGTTCGCATTAAGGAACATGAAGCATACGCTAGAAAAAAGGAAACCCAGAAGTCTTCTGTGGCCCAGCATTGTTGGTCCAAAAATCACATTTTCAATTTTTCTGCAGCCAAAATTACATATATATATATATATAAACCACATACACTTGCATTGGTGGAACTGGATTTTCTAGAAACATTTCACATTCAAAAAAATCTTTCTGTTCTAGTTAACGACCCTAATTCCAATCCATCTTTGCCTTCACCCTTTAAAGAAATTTTGTTTTAGTCTTGGTTTCATCAACAGATGGCATCAGTAGCTTATCTCCTGTACATGCTTTCTTGTCTAATCATTACATCTTATCTCAATCGTTTGCACTTTTGCAACTGAAGATAATGGTTTGGTAACTAGTCCTGTGAAAATTCAAAAATATTATGCTGATTTTTGTTGTTTGACTTCTAAATTAACAGTTGAAGTTATGTCAACTTGTGTGGCCTCCAACCATCCAGCAAATGCCGCCTCTGAACTCGCTTCTGATTGGTTAACGCATTAGTGTGGATGCAGTTTAAGGCTTGTTTTGTACTAAATTATCTAACTTAACTGGGAAAGGCTTTCATCTATAATCCAGTATATATGCATTACATCATAATACCATTTCAAATTATATTTGAAAGATTATAAAAAATTACCAGGACTTTCCACCCTCTTGTAATGGTAAGGATTTATGCAAACTTCTTTCTGTTTTGCTGAGAATGGATATTCACAAAATTCCAGAGGTTTCAATTCATGATGAGACTGTAAATCTGGCCACCTCCAAACACGGCAATAAATTACATGAGGTAAACCTTTACGATGAGACACCTAAAGATGAAAACAAGTTTTGAATCAAAAATAAATAATTTCTTTGACAACACATAGTGAGATAAAGCTAAATGAAAATTTACTTTTTATTAAAAATGCATCAGTCTAGATACAATGCCAGTCTGATAGATTAAAAAAGTTACTACAAACTTAAATACAAATGGCATATTTAAAGCTTATATAGTACTATTCCATTTTGAGGACCGTAAAAAATTGCAGCAAACATGTATGCGCAAAAGCGGCAAATCTAGCAAACGCGCCCATTTAAAACAGCGCGCTAAATCTAGTGTACGCGCTGATTTCAGATTCAACAAACTGAAAAGTGTTTCCGCGTTTATAGCGGACAACGGAAATTCTCGTTCCCTGGCTAATAGCCCATTCAGGCTAATGCCCTTTTGGGTATAAAAAGAAGAGAACTCAATAATTTAAATTGAGTTTGAATAGTCATTTAAAAGTGTAGAAAGAATTGGTGGCCAAGATACAGACTGGTGCATTAAAGTGGTTTGAAGTATCTTCCTCTGACAAACATTATGGACACACTCAAGAATATGATTAACATCATCTCTGCTAACGCAGCTGCACAAAGGACCTGAAGCAAGTCCATATAGCTTCAAACAGGTCTTAAAATAACCATGTCCAGTCAAAAATTGCGTTTGTTTAAAATTTTGTCGAAATTTGATTAACCTTTATTCTCTGAAAAACTATAGGAAAAAAAAAAAAACTTTGTTGACGCAGGATATTCTCTGTTCTAAATATAGATTGTTTCGTTTCTATAGAAGAGCTTCTTGTGAGAATGAATGCTGAGATATAATTCATTCTGAAAAATTTTGTTAACGTTTTTGGATCTACAAAAAAGAAGACTGCAATAAATCTCTTTTAAAGTATCACTACTCATTAATAATTTTACATGAGAAACCGCTTAACATCAATATTGTTGCTCTGCTTCTTTCCTTGAAGTACCCATTTATAAATATAAACATTTACTTTATCCATAATAATAGCTATAAAAACACTGAAAATTAATAGCAAAAAGAGGTACTATTCTGTTTTGAGGGCCGTAAAAAAATTGCAGTGAAAATGTATGCGCAAAAGCGACAAATCTAGCAAACGCGGCCATTTAAACAGCGCGCCAAATCCAGCGTACGCGCTGATTTCAGATTGCGTAAGTTTATATAGTTCTATATTTCTTAAGATGCCATTGAAATATTAGTTTAATTTTAAATCCTTTTTTGATGTCCTATGGATTTTACAATTTGGGAATTGCCCATGACGAAAAGTCTGCAATAGAATTTTGGGTAAAGTGCAGAATCACCCACTGTTTGACGCATTTTTAAGAATTGCACATACTCGGTGTCCATGTACACATCGGCCTATTTTAACTTTAAAAAAAAAATCCCAGAATTGCACAAAAATGGCATTGCGCACACTCTTGACTTTATCTAAGTACACATCAACCTATTTTCACTTAAAAAGTAAAAGAAAGTTGACAAAAATCCAATTGTTTTTACCCTTGTAAAAAGCGGCAAACAAATAAGTGGGCAATTCTGAACTTTACCCGAGAATTTTTTCAAAGAAAAGGCATCATTCATTATAGAAAATTACGTTTGATCAACCAACGAGATGAAACTATGCTTTAGCGATAACTCGGTAGCAAAATAGCGATGCAGGCATCCATTCAGTTATCTTTAGCAATTTTTATATAAATTATAATATTGATTTGAAATAGTTATTTACTCCTATTCTTCCATTCAATCATGTTTAGCCTTTTTTATATAAATTATAATAATAAAAAAGTATTATATGAAAATAACCTTTCATCTAAATTAAAACATCAATCTTAGATAGTTATTTACTATTTATACTTCCTTTCTTGCGTTAGGGTAGCCCCAATTATTTTTGGTATCAACAATAGTTTGGCGATTTTTTATGGCCCTCATAACCGAATAGTACCGCTTATATTAACCTACTTCAAGTCAAGCAAAATAATTTTAACAGAAAATTTTGATAGAATCAGATTGTTTTCAATGTTTAGAATATAACAGCTATGCTATTTTATGAGGAAATTTAAACAAATGCACAATAAATTCCAACAAATAACAAAGACACTTTATTGACATTAATTACACCTAACCAGGTTTCTTAAAAGTCTGAATTATTATTAAGTTTTCAGATTGAATTACCCAAAACTTAAAGGTGCATAGAATACAGACATTTACAAGATTTCTGTATGAAATGCTACATCTTTCAACCCTTTCATTAAATGACTAGTTTTATATGTAGGGATAATATCTAAAGGCTACATATACTATTCCATGCTTCATAAATAAGTTCTTGTATTTTAAATTAAATATATAACTAGCTAAATTCAATCGATATCCTCTCTGACAAAGAATTTCAAATTTGTTTAACCCCTTGGCAACGAATTTAAAAAAATACCCCGTTTCCTATCCAACTCTATAAAATATGTCATAAATAAGGTAAATTTAGCATTTGAGGTTTTTTTTGATAAATGGTTTTTCAAGCCAGAGACAGGGAAACACATGTCCCGACCGTAGCTAATAGGTGTGGTACATATGTCCCACACATAATGATCGACTTACTATGCACACCTATTCAAGAAAACTTTATTATATGAAATAGATTTTACATCGTATAATACAGAGTTGCATAACCAAACATTACACATTGGGCAACTTATATTTGCTCTTTTTTCTATGTTCATTTATGTGCATCGAGCACGGCGTCATCTTGATTTTCCAGCTACTGGAAGATGATCCCCGACATTCAAGAGATTTCTAAGTACTTTTTAACCCAGCAGCAATTTTTAAGCTTTTAGTGGCTTATTAGTAGTCAAATGGCAGTCAAACTACATTTTAGGCATTCATTTCATCCTACCCTCATTTGAGCGCTGGAAGACGTGACAGCAGCATGCGACTTCAAATTTATGCTTTTTTCTACAATATTGCTCTTGCCATCTCCAGCTTATGATTCAACTGACTCCTAGAACTGTATTTACGCAAGGCTCACTCATTGCTTATCACGAGAACTTTTTTCTCTCAATAATGAATTTTACTATATGCCAGGAAAAATATGCCTTTCCACACGTCACTACACACAGGATGTGGCTGTCCCAGCCTAGAAGCCTGTTAAGTGCCTAGCACCTGAGCCTTTAGATGTTCTACATGACTCTGATTTTGTTGTAAAAATCTCATCAGTTCAGTCTATTCCCACAAAACAAAAAATTCACGACACAGAAATTTCAAAACAAATATGTTATTCCATCTTCTAGCGAATATCATATACAGTTTTGCTACAGTTAGATTTAACCTCTCACCATCTTTCTTGTCACCTGACCATTTAACCTTTCATATACAAGCTTGTGATGGTGATTACATTTAGGCAATCTTTTCTAAAAGCAATCTTCATAATACCTCAAAAAGGTTGGTATCATGATGTATCCCTTTAAATGTGGACAATCAAAATTGGAAAAATTTTCCCCTATTTAATTCAAGAATTATATCAGGAAGAAAAAAAAAAAAAAAAAAAAAATAGAAAATTATAATTTAAAAAAATACTATATATTCAGTATAGTATTATTTGAATTATATCCATTATTTTTTATGCATATATTTGATATACATAAAAAATAATAGATCACAGTCACATTTTGCAACATTTTTCAAATTATAGCAGAAAAAAATATAATCAAAATGGCTCATTTTAAAGCTAAATAAAATAAACTACATACAAGAAAACAATATCATTTTGGATGTATGAATTTAAAATTTTGGAACATGAACCTAAACAACCTAAAAGAACCTTCAATGCTGTCTAAATCAGGCTGAGCTAAAAGAACTTAGGACAAAGCTGGCGAATACTGACAAAATAAAGAAGTCGCCAAGCAGACTTTATTGGCGACAACACACAGTATACACACAAAAAATATTAACAAATGTTAGTTCTAAGGATTTTTTATTTTGAAGGCATAAACATTTTAATATCGTTTAAAATTGTGTAAAAATGGAATAAACAAAGATAATAAATTTGTAAAACGAAATTAATTTAAGAATTTATTGCCTTTCATGCACAGCATCCTGAGCATTCCAAGTAACAGCATCCTGATTTGCCAGTTCATATCGCGTGATTCCAAGTAACAGCATCCTGATTTGCCAGTTCATATCGCGTGATTCCAAGTAACAGCATCCTGATTTGCCAGTTCATATCGCGTGATTCCAAGTAACAGCATCCTGATTTGCCAGTTCATATCGCGTGATTCCAAGTAACAGCATCCTGATTTGCCAGTTCATATCGCGTGATTCCAAGTAATCTCATCTCACGTACACTAAGCTACAAAAATCTAATTCTCTCATTAATTTCAAGTTAAATCTTAATATGGAACAGAAGTTTAAATGCAGGAATCATTTTTATTCATATGAATAGCTTACTAAAAATTATGTAAAACTGCAGTGCTTTACTTCGCTAGTGCATTCACATTAGAATTGATGAATTTAACAATTTACTTTGCTTTTTCTGTATTTTTGCCTTCGGATGAGCGGTGTGATTGCATCTTAATAGACATGACTATGGTGAATGGCCGTAGGGCATAAAATTGAACTATCTGGTAAAAACTCTATGCAATTTTATGCCAGTATTGAAAGAAACAATCAATCTGATAAGAAATGGCTGCGACTTGTTTTGAAAATGAGGCGTAAAAGGTTACCAGCGAGGATATTCCGTTTGGCATCGGTTGTACCATTTACGGCGACTTTATTACTTGCGCCGGCAAAATGGAAAAGTACCCAATTTTGTATGTGGTTTGGAATGGAATCAAAGTTTCATTTCGTGCAAAGATCACACACGAATAATATTCCAAAGTATATAGTTTGCAATAATATCATTGTAACTATCTTGTAATAAATTAATTTGTAATATAGATATTTGTTTGTGATGTAGTTTGACACCAAAATAATGCCTATTGTTACTTATTTTGACCCACTTTTAATTGCCACATGCCAGCACATAATGTGCCACTGAAGAAGTAATTTTTCCTCATAAAATTCTATGCTTAAAAGGCTTAGTAATCAATGTGGTACACATAATAATCTTTTATTGCCTCTTTTAAATCATACTTCTTATAATAATTAAGTCGGCATATGGGTACAATCTATTTCTATGACACAACATTAACTATCAATATATAACCTCACATAACCGGCAGGGAAACCGTTAAAGTAATCATTCCAACCTATTGTGGTACTATGGTTGATTTCTAACCTGTTGGCAAAATTCAACCAACATCAGTTCTTCCCACAGCAGATAAAACAAATGGCACTGAGTAAAGAAAGACACGAGTCTTCAAACCATGTTTAGGTTCTCAATCCCTTTTTTTTTTTTTTTCCCCCAAAGCAAGAATGTATGTAATAACACCATGTAGCGGCTTGATGAAGTTAAGAACAAAGTCCATTGCTATGAATTATTCCTCTGCACTGAAAGAATCTTATGGCAGCCTCTTCGACATCATTGTATTAAAAAACTGGCGAATTATGGCTAAAAAATAACGAGTGATGATATTTCAAACGAGAATTAGAATTTGTGAGCTACAACACTTCAAGCATAAATAAAAAAATACTCAAAATAATGAGTACCAATATTTCAAACGAAAACTAGAAATCTCAACCACCGATTTTCAAATGTCAAGTTCTCGAGCCACAATATTTGGCATGTTGTTGTAGCATTGTTTCCTTCTCATTTTTAGCTGACACCACTCTAATGGAATATTACTCAAATAATGAAAGTATCAAGTCAAGCTATAAGAATAAGAGAAAGTTGGGAGAAATAAGTTCCAAATCGCGTTTACAGGTGCATGTTCGGAAATCGGGAAAGTTGCCAACTCTGTGTTTGAAACTAAATAATATGATTTTAATCTACATAGCAGCTTAAAGCAGAATAAAAAGGGAGACTCACCTGCAATCGGCCATCAAGAGAGCGTGGAATGGTGACACATTTGCTCGGTTGTCCAGGACAGCTCAAAGCTTTTTCCAGTTCCTCTATAGCACCTTTCTTTTTCTTCAGCTTCTTAACTAAAGAATCCACAGCCTTTTCTGCCCACTTTTCTTCTTCATCACCCTGTTTCCAACCAAGGAGCTTTTTTACAGCAGGACTCGTAAAAGAGAACAGACTGTTCAATGAAGTCATGGCGAGATGAAAAACCTGAAATAATTTTAAATTAAAAAGAAATATTAGAATAAAGAGAAAGATTAATGTAAGTTAGGCATTTACTATACTTTGAAAACAGAAAGTACTTTTATTTTAATACAAAAACCTTCAATAAGAGGATGTGCATTAAATGACTGGCCTTTGTTAAAATTTTGGTACAACTCTGATATACACCCTAATTTCACCAAATGTGGCGATATGTGTTCTGCACTGGTTTTTGGCGCGATTGCGTGTTCTATGGCAACCCTGTTGACATTGAAAAATCTTTCCCTGGAGCTCGTTGGTTTCGCGAAAAGGGTCTGAAAGATAAAATGGAAGAAATTGTTGAAATTGAAGTTTGGCAAAAGGAAATATCATCGTGGCCATCTTGTTGAGGGGCAAGTGGGTATTTGGAGGTGTGAAAAGAGGGTCTGGGAGATTATTTTTAGTGGCTGTGTGTGATAGAAGTAGGGATTTGTGATTTTATTATTTGTGAAACCACAGTATAAATTTTCTAGATAGTGTGCCTGGCTGTCATATAAATATGATAGTGATTATGTGGCGGCATGTTAAAGGCGGTATGAAATTTAGTAATTCTGCTGTTCGAAAAAGCATTAATTCATGGTAACTGCATTTTTATTTTATCCTTGTTCTTATTTTGTAGAATGTTATGTTCATTGTTTTTTTAGTATGCATTTCTGTCGTTATTCTTGTTTTTCTGGAATTGTTTGAAATTTATTTTAGTTTATTTTGTGTATAGCGTCTAGACTGTGCAATTCTTAGATTTTTTTTAAAGTTGAAATAGAACGCTGTGTACATGATATTATTTGAAATTTATTGTTGTTATGTTATTAAAGCGAGGAGTGCGTAGATCGTAGATTCCTTCCTTGTCTAAATTGTGCAATTCGTAGAATTTTTTTTAAGTTTAAACAGGATGCTGTGTACATGGTATTCTTTGAAATTTCTTGTTGTTATGTTAATTTATTAAAGCGAGGTGTGCGTAGTTTGTAGATTCGTTCGTTGCCTACATTGTGCAATTCGTAGATGTTTTTTTTTAAGTTAAAACATGTCGCTGTGTACATGGATTCTTGTCAAATATTTTTGATTAGAAACTTTACGATTTTGCTATCTAAATTTTTTGTTTTTGTTTCGGATTTTTAGCTAAATTGTGTGTTCAAAACGTAGTTTTTGCAGACATTTTAGGCTAAAAGTTCAAAATGTAGAAAAAAATTTAGATAGTAATATGGCAGCGTGAAGTTTCTCGCCAAAAATATTTGGCGACTTGAGGGCGCATATCAGAGTAGTTCCAAAATTTTTACACAGAAAATATACACCAGATAATCAAAGTATAACCTACATATTTCAGCTAATTAGTTCCCAAGTTCCAGCAAGATAATCTAAGCATTTGCACTAGGTAATTTAGTTCCAAAGTTCCAGTAGGATAATCTAAGCATTTGCATTAGGTAGTTAAGTAATGAGATATATTCCACAAGAGAAAAAGAGGAAAAATGTGGTCATGTCGTTCAATAACAACATCATCCGCATGTTCTACGTTTACAATGGAGTCGATAGCAGATATTCCGCTGAAAGTGATTTTTCGAATTTAGAAATTTATGGCTATTGCGAGATTTTAAAAAATACGTTAGGAAATGATTTCTCTTTCCTTGATGTCAACAAGAATATTCACGGAAATTGTTATTCAAGAAAAAATATGCGAACAATATTTGTTTCAAAGTAATGCCCGATAGCACAGTACTTATAACAAGCTGTGTTAAGGCTGAAATGAAGAAATCAATTATGAAACATCTGTACAAATTTCTACAGAAAACGAGGTAAGATTTATAAATTTTTCTTATGTGTGAAACATTATTAATACTGATAAGAATTACCAGTATTAATAATGCTTTTATTAAGAATATTATGTGTATACGAGTTAATTGAAAACTATGTCCAAGACCTTGAATAATGTTTTCCAAACTTTTAAATGTGAGTGTAATAATAGTATATTTATAGTTCATGAACAGTTGTTCTAAATTACTGAAATAGCCAAATTTGTGAAAGATCTGTTTATCTGCAAGAACATAAATACAAAGCCAATTTTCTCTCATTAATATTAATTAGTGTCATAGAATATTTTATGCAGCTAAAATTTTATTAATTTCATCAGGATAATTTTAATATTTTAGCTGGGTAAAAGTATAGTTTAGGGTACCCCTTGGCGAAACTTGGCAATTTTTTGGAGGTACATGAATACCGAGTTTGTGCAATTATTTGACTCGTTATTTTGGCTTGCGAAGCGGCGATTTTTGGCCAAAAATAACAAGACAAACAATTGCACAAACTCGGTATCCATGTATACGACTTATTTTCACTTAAAAAAAAAAAATCCCCGAGTTGCACAAAAATGGCATTGCGCACTTCTTTGACTTTATTCATGTACATGTCAACCTATTTTCACTTAAAAAAAGAAATCCCAGCATTGCACAAACTTGCACTGCGCACTCCCTTTACTTTGTCCATGTACACATCGATATATTTTCACTTAAAAAGTCAAAGGACCAATTCTAATATAGGCAAACAAAAAACACTAATCTCAATAAAATACATTTTAAAAACCAAACAAAAATAACATATAAAAGAAAAACATGTTATACATTTAAGCATTACCAAAGCAAATATTCACTACCATGATTTCGAGTTCGCTTCGTACACCCCGAGCCACGTAAAATCAAAATATCATCATACTCAAATGACTTTTTTCAACCAGGTACTCCTCTGATCGAACGCTTCACATAGTGACCATCTGAACCTTTCTTCCTACAACCCATTCAAATCTAACGGTTTTTTATGTTCGACTAGACACATATCCTTCCTACATACAAACACTTATAATGGCTACTAAGTAAACCTTCATTTACACACCATCAATTAAAAGTCTTTTCACTTTCGCTCGCTCCAATTGTACAGAAACTTCGAATTAATCTTACTACATTCGGCCATTCTACCGTCTAAAAATCAAACCAACACACACCACAAAAACGCTTACAAAACATCCCATGATTCAAATTTCCCAGAATCATGCACTATCACATAGGTTTCCATAACATTCCACTACTCAGGCTACCATAAATGAAACAACAACTTGGCGATAAATCAAACAACAACTTCGCCATAATACAAGGGGTACCCTTAAAGTATATACTCTACCCTTTAGCTGTTGTAATCGATTTTTAATGAATACACATATATAGAATTATACTTGTCTATTTCCTATGGTAGATCTTTTCAATAAATACACTTGAAAATCTTTTTGAGCTACATGATTTAAAAAAAAAAAAAAAAATTCTGCACACATAAATTATGTAACTTACAAGATTAAAAATAACTTCAAATTTATTTTTTGAATATTTAAAATGTATATAGTACTTTATTATTTATTACTATAAAATGAAGAAAAATGCACTATGAAAAATTATTAGTTTTACAGCTAGTACTGCAGTGAACTCAGTTGCACAAATTTTGCTTTTTGACATTTACATTATAGTACACAAAATGTGTTAATTTGCAGTTTATATTATTGATAGGATAATAGCCAGTTGCTAAAAGTTAAATTTTAAGTTGTATAAAATTATATATTAATTTTGAACTGCGCAGAACATTGGTATCGTTAATCTTACATGATTTAAGGGCTAACTTACAGTGCTCTGGAAATTTGACTATTACAATTTTCAGAAACCAACTATTTACATTTACTGTTCTGCTTGTTAAGCTGATAAAATTATGACTTAATATTTATAGTAACTTTCTTTTCAGTGTAGAAGAGCAACCTATGTAAACATGATTTTATGTTCAAAATCGTAAAAACAACCTTGTATTTAGCGTAAGTATAATGAAACACTCAATCGATTTCGAGGGCAGCTAAAGGTCCCTCCTCATCAGGAGAAAGAAATATCTAGAAAGAAGGAGAAGGAGTCTCAGAAACACGTGGTCCTTATCAGCATTGCACGTGGTTATAACTGGATTTTTAATCAGAGTTGCACTGGTATTATTTTATGTATTCATTTTTACATTTTTTATAAATGAATTAATTATCAGATCAAGGAAAGAATTCATAAATAAATATTAAGAATCAAAACATGGTAAAGCAGCGAACAAAGTATGATGAAGATAACAATAATATATAAGAGTTACCAAAATTATACTAACCAAATGAATGGTTAATTAATGGATGAAATAATAAAGTTGAAATGCAAATTTCATAACTAATTAAAAATAAATAAAGTTTCTAAATTTCCAACACATTTACCACAGCAAAAACTTATTTGTTTACATTAGCAGTTCTTACATTACGTGACCTCCGATGTCACCGGAATGTATCTCATTACTGAAGTGCAAACACAGAAGCAAATTTTAATAGGGGAAAAACAGTAAATAAACCAATATATTTACTACTAAATTTTCGGTTAATCTTCATTCTATGGTACCCCTTGGTTTTTTTTTCTGAAAAAAATCGCCAAGAGGTGTTGTTGTTCGCCAAATTTGGCAGCCCACAGCACAAAGTAGGTTTTTCGGGAACGCTAATTTTGGTAAACTACTGGTTACCATGATAGCTTCCTGATTTTTAAGTGAAAATAGATCAATGTGTACATGGACAAAGATAAGGCAGTGCGCAATGCCTAGTTTGTGCAATTTTCCGATTTTTTTTAAAAGGAAAAATAGGTCGATGTGTACATGGATACTGAGTTTATGTAAGTCATCGACTTTTTATTTTTGGTTTTGTGTAGTGACCATCTTGAAATTTTGCCTTCCCATCTTTGAACATGGCATCAAAAAAGAAAGATTTCCCAAGGGGTACTGTACGATAAATTTTTACCACATTTTCTTTGCTAAAATTAAATATTCTATTTCAATATTAAACTCGGTATGATAACAATAGGAAAATATTATAGCGGTCTCAAGACAAAAATGGTCTCTACCTCTGATCTTTTGAAAGTGTTTTACATTATATGTTCTATGTAAGCTGGTCTGATGTTTATTAATTTTATAGCTTGAAAGTATTCTACAAGTGAAATAATTAAGAGCTCAAATACCATATTTTCTAGGAAAATTAAGTAAATATATTACCATTTATATTAAAACATACTGTGTAACAGTAACATATATTTGAAGTTTAGAAACAGGTAATATATTATATATATATTTCAAAAATGCTAAGCTCCGTATCCAAGAGTCATGGAGTGTTATTTAACAAACCCTATTAAAGATGATATAATAAAGTTTCTGACAGGAAGAAATAACAGTGAAATTTTATATAAAAATTAAGAGCTTTGCTTATAACAAACTTAAATCAAAAGAAAATTCATGACAATATTTGTTCAGTAAAGATTTATTATTATAATATCCTTATTCTCTAAACGTACACACGATTTTAATAGAACTAATAAAAAGTATTTCATGTTTACAGATATTTTTAATTAAGATGTATTTTTGATAAAAGACAGTTTTAAATTACTTTAGTAATAAAATTATACAACATAGTTATTATAAAAATGTTCGCAAGTGAAGTACATACTAATAAAACAAAATTTCAAACATTCAGTGCATACACATATGAGTAATACTTATGAGTCATTGTTGTTTCCACTATTATTGCCATTCACATCCGAAATACCTGCACATGTTTATTGTGTCATTTTTATAAATCACTACAGTTTTAATAAAATTACTCTGCTTTATTTTTGAATATTTCTTATATATATAACGATGCCTTATCATGAAAAAAGAGTTGCGTAACACACATCGTTATATCAACACATGGTTAATACTAGATTTTCTCTTGTCAGGTACTTCCATAAAGATTATTTCAAACACTTCTAGAAATATTTAAAACAAATTTCGCATTAAAACAACGTAAGCCAATGTATGTCAAAAGTTACATCACATCTGTTAGATAAACTCACTTATATCCTTCGACCTTTTTTTTTTTTCATTTCATTAAAAACGTAGTTCAACGTAAGAAATGGCTGTGTAACAGCTTTTAAAAGGATTATGAAAACAAATCAAAAGTTCTCATTTAAATATATAAGTTGATAAACCCTTTAATCACGAAATCTGAAAAACCTTAAGCCTATTAAATGGATACGATTACTCACGCTTTCAGAACAAGGGTAATATTGTTAGCCTCTCCTTTTTTTATCGCTCAGTATACGATAGATTAACAATGCATTTCCAAATTCACAAAAAGAAACAATGAAAAAGTTCACGTGACAAAAAATGAGTTTAATTACATGATTCAGTAAAATATGAGAAAGGAATATAACATTAAAAAATTAAAGACAAAAATTTACACAATTTTTTACAATACCTAAGTCAAAACAGCGTCTACCATCCTCATTGGCGTCAGACTGACTGGAGTTTTTCTTCTCGGTCTCGGGTCATTTTGTGGTTGCTGCCATTGTACGTCATTGAAAGATGAATAATTACACATTTATATGAAGTACGTAATAACAAATGGCTATTAATTGTTTCCAACGGCAGTGTGCGACATTATTTAATTATCTTCTGAAATACTTTCTTTAGTGTTTTCAATGCGATTATTACGAACTAACCGCATTTTCCTATTACAAGTCATCATCAATTATACTTACAGAAGAGATATTTCATTTTTGTTAAGGTTTGCGCATTTTAATTTTGTATTCTTCTGCCTTGTGTTAGCCCCATGGAAAACAGTGCACCTTCTGAAATGTAGAATTGATCATCTAGGAAATTATCGGAAACTCTCATTTCCCAAACATTCAGGAAATATAATATTTTTTACTATATCAAACCAAAAGTGCACTCATGATTTAAGGGCAAGCCGAAGATCTGTTTCTGCCTTTTGCATTCTATAACATTATTCCTTTTTTCCCCCCCTGATACACTAAATGTGAATTGCAGCAAACTCTTTCATGACGATGGACTTACGCATTCGAACCCAATGCAATAAGGTTCAAAATCTATAAGGAGCTGAATTAAATAAGTAATGATAAGCTTGCATTGAAATGTTTAATTACTACAAAAAGGCTACAGTAAGAAAATAGGTACTTTCTTGCTTATCCGCACTCCCCTCCAAACATTTGCTAACTCATACAAGGTTGCTGAATTTAATAAAATGGTTCTTTTTGTTCATTACCACTCATGGATACTGTGCTGTTTGTATGTAATAGAAAATAGAAGCATTTAATAAGAAATTTTACAGGTAAAAATGAATATCTATGTAACCGGCATTTATATTTTTACAGTCAATGTATAATACTGTTCAGCGAAGTGAAAAAATATTTTGATAAGTAAAGATGGAGTTTAGAAGTGAAAGCTGCAGATTGAAATTTCGTAAATTTTTTCCCCTCTAAATTGCAAAAAATTAAGCTGATTCTCTATTAATTTGTGTTACTTCCCACATGCCATGATTGTTTCAACATGGCATGACTTCATGGTATTGCCACTACTTTGAGACATGGTATCAAGTAGTGCAACTACCATTGGAAACTGGATCCGATATTCGATGTGGCAAAGTTTGAGTTCAAGTTTCGAATTAGCTACGAAATTAGCGTTACGAAAGTCATATGATATGAATTAATCTAGAAACAGCGCAGCCCAGAAAAATTTTGATGCGCTGAAGCTGCTAGGAGGAAGATATATAAAATTTAAATAGCAATTGATAATTTAGTAATTTATTAGACATTTGCTTTCTTATTTTATATTATACACCTACATACTCTCACACATTTATGCGTTCAGTATGTTTCTGATAAAACATTTCATTTTGAACTGCTAAATGAAATTACTTCAATATTAGATTCAGAGTACCTAATAAATTACATAGAGACTAAATTTACTAAATTTATGGAAATAATCTAGTATATATAGTCTATGTAATCTATGTATTCTATCTAATATATAGACTAAAATTTCGTAGAATAATAAATTATACATTAGAATGCAAAGCCCTTTTGTAGCTACATTCATATCTAAGCTGTGTAATCGAGAATGTGTCGTAGGTGTAAACATAGGATTTTGCATTGGAGTAATCCATCAGTTTTACTCCGAAAGGTTATTTAAAAGGTAGATTCCGCGCATCGATTGCAAAATGCCGAAAGTGAAAAGTAATAAAAAGTATCGTCAACATGAGGAGGTCCAAAAACAAGGTATACGATTCAACACCACACTTGGCCAACACGTGTTAAAAAATCCTTTAATTATTAACAGCATGTTGGAAAAAGCAGCTTTGAGATCCACAGATGTAGTGTTGGAAGTTGGTCCCGGTACTGGAAACATGACTGTGAAAATGTTAGAAAAAGTGAAAAAAGTTATAGCATGTGAAATAGATGTTCGTCTTGTTGCTGAGCTGCAGAAACGAGTACAAGGTACTCCTATGCAACATAAGTTACAGATAATTGTCGGAGATGTACTAAAGACTGATCTCCCTTTCTTTGATATATGTGTTGCTAATTTACCGTATCAAATATCTTCACCGTTTGTTTTCAAATTATTGCTTCATCGACCGTTCTTTAGATGTGCTATTTTGATGTTTCAGAAGGAATTTGCTGATCGTCTTGTAGCGAAACCTGGCAGTAAGGTGTATTGTCGTTTGTCTGTTAACACTCAGTTACTTGCTCGAGTTGATATCCTTATGAAAGTTGGGAAAAATAATTTTCGACCGCCTCCAAAAGTGGAATCCTCTGTTGTACGATTAGAACCTCGAAATCCGCCACCACCAGTTAATTTCAAAGAGTGGGATGGATTACTTCGTGTGTTGTTTGTTCGAAAGAATAAAACTATCAGCGCGGCTTTTAAGCAAACTTCTGTTTTAGAAATGATGGAAAAAAACTATATGACATATTGTTCATTAAAAAATATTGATGTCCCAAAAGATCTTGATATTAAGGCAAAAATAGAAAGTGTCTTAAATACAAATAATTTCGATAAAATGAGACCACGGACTATGGATGTTGATGATTTCTTGTTATTGATGCATGAATTTAATTCTAATGGTTTACATTTTTCATAATTATGTAAATAAATATATTACTGAAAGATATGAATGTTTGCCTTTTCTGTTATTCTTAGTATAAAACTGCAGTATTTTATATGAATCCTATCGCTTTTGAATGAGTTGCATAGAATTTACAGGAATTTCTTGACTAGGAGAATTTCTTGTATTTGAATGAGTTACTGTCTTACTGTCTTGGAAATATAACTTGTATTTGTTCACAACTCATATCCGTTATGGGACAATGATGTGCATGATATAACTAAAATATAGAGAAAAAGGGGGCTAGACTGGAGATTACAGTCCATTCGCCAAGTGAAGCTAAATCGCACCAAATCTGGTAACCTCTTGGCTTAAATACGAATCGATGCTTTCTGATCATTTATTGCTCATTTACTGGTTATTACAATTTCTTAAATTTCGTGATAAAACACTTTACTCCATTTTGCTACTGTCTTAAAAATGGGGTACAGCTTGAGTATAGGACCCCCATTGGCGATTTCTGGCTTGGCACACTTTTTGGACAGTTATTTTTCTGGTAACCCAGCAAATTATAGAATACTCCACTTCGGCAACCCTTTTGCATTCCTGCGTGAAAGTGTCATTTTCTTCGAAGGAGCAAAATATTGATTCAACAAATTTCTCAAAATTGTAAGGGACATAAATTGGGCAGAGTATAGGATTTCTTTGTAAATTTACCATGATTTTGTAAACTTTACTAAATTTCCAGCATTCTTTTATTTTTAATTTAAACATGTATTCTGAACTCCTGTTTTCAGTTTTATAACTTAAAACTTCACTTTCAATATTGCTGCTTAAAATATGCCTCCATGTACTTGTGTATTTTCAAACTTTTCTTTACTTTTAATCCAAACATGCATTCTTAACTCCTATTTTCATATTTTGAATTTAAACATGTATTCTGAGCTCCTATTTTCAATTTTACAGCTTGTAATTTGTATTTTCAGTATAACTGCTAAAAATATGTTGTTATTTATTTATTTTCAGTTTCACTGTTTAAATATATATTCTAAATTTGTATTTAAAATTTTTCTTGTTAAAATGTGCATTCTAACATCTGTTTTCAATTTTAACTGCTTTTACAAGGCTAAACTTGTATTTTCAATACTATTACTTAAAATGTGCCCCTACTTACTTATGTACCTTCAAATTTGCTGTTTAAACATATATTCTAAAATTTTTTTCTGGTTAAAAGGTGCTTTCAAACTTGTGTTTTCCATTTTAACGGCTTTTCGATGGCTTTTCATTCAAACATTTCTGGTCACCAAGCCAAAAAATCGTCAGTGGGGTCCTATACTCAAGCTGTTCCAAAAATGGTATATGATATTATGAAAACTATTAATATTGTTGAGCCTATAAACTACATAGTTATTAACTTTCAAATACTTTAGGTAAAGTGCAGTATCGCTTACTTATTTGTTTGGCACTTTTTACAAGAGTAAGAAGAATTGGATTTTTGTCAATTTTCTTTGACTTTTTAAATGAAAATAGGTCAATATGTACATGGATAAAGTCAAGGGAGTGCGCAATGCCATTTTTGTGCAATTCTGGGATTTTTTTTTAAGTGAAAATTGGTCGATGTGTACATGAATACCAAGTATGTGCAATTCTTAAAAATGAGCCAAGCAGTGGGTGATTCTGCACTTCCCCCTTTTTCATTGTTTTCTTGAAGTCCTGTTTTAGATATTTTTGCATGTTTACGTGATCTATTTTTTGCATTTTTACAGAATTAATTCAAATTCGCAACCATCTAATATGGCGATATGACGAGTTAGCGATTCTCTAAAATGCACGAAAACAACCGATTTCGCGACTTGGCAGTTTTTTTAAAACGCTCCACACTGGACTGTAATATCCAGTTTTACCAAAAAGAATATTAACGATAACCCCATAGAGGCTTGCCCAAAGCAAAATGGGCTGAAACATGTAAATGTTGATTTCAGAACTATAAAGGGGGATGCATTATTTTCATGCATAAATAGAAATGATTATTCAGAACAATCCATGAAAGAATTTACTCTTGTCTAATGTAAGGTTTGTGTGTATGTGTATATTTTATATTTGTACATAAAATATAATTTGGTGTGCTTTCTTGTTAATGCAGATACTGAATAAAAATTTCTTTCATAATGACTGAAATTCATGCATTGCAAACTAAGAAATAAGTTTGCCAATTTCGATGATTAAGCTAGGTGTCTGCATTAAAAAGAAAGTACTTTAAATAAATATGTTATTGAATTTAAAAAATATATACTACGTGATATATGCTTAATTTCTGACCTATTTCCTGCAGTGCATTTTTAAATAACTGAAAGCTTGGAAGTACTTCCATCGAAAATTCAGTAAATGTAGACACTACAAAAATTTGAACAATAGTGCTAAGTTGGAAATTTTGTGAAGGCATTTTGCTTCTGTAGCAGCTATTCCATCTAGTGGCTTATGTTTTCAAAGTTCTTAATGTTCACTCTATTCTGCATATCACTTTGTTATACTTTGAATATTAAATTAGAATTAAACTTTAATTTCCAATAATAAATAGGTAGAATTAGTTTATTTTTGGAAGTTGTTGTGGAATGAGTGTTTGTAGTGGTTGAATGCGCATTGCGAATTAAAAACATATTAATCGGGAGAGATTGCATATACCAAGCTATAAAACACTACAATTAGTATATGTATCCAGTTAGTGAAACTGAGCTGGCAGCATCTAGATATGAAATTGTTCAAAAGTGTTTAGCTAATTGATGTACATGAAATTTTATTTAAATGATAAATTAAACATTTAAGTAATGCATATAGTAAAATTCTAAATCCCATGAAAGGCACTCTCTGTTAATATATAATTTTGTCTCTGACAATTTGCAGTAAATATCCATTTTTTTTTTTTTTTTTTTATTATTATTATTATATTATTATTTTTTAGGATAAGATCACTTACTAAAAATGAAATATGTATAATTATTCTTAGAAAAATATATGCATTTTAAATGCAAAAGTTTTAGCTTTTTTTAAAAAACTAAAAAAAGTGGAATTATATTTGATTAATATTGCATGTTTTAAATTGTATTATTTTTATACCTATTTGTTTAATACTAAGAGCTAAGTTTAAAAAAAAATCACCACAAAATACCTCAGTAACTTTTCTAAATACTCTTTTTCAGAATGTACTTTCTTTTAAATTCTTTATTATCATTTTTTAAAACTTTAAAATTCCCCTAGAAGTTGCGGTTTTCCCAACTGGTGTTACTAAATGAGTTTTTAGCGAACAAAACCTGAAATACCACCAATGGTTTCCACTGGAATTACCAGTGATTTCTTTGTGAAAAACAGTGCATTGGACATATTCTTCTATGGAGGTGGCTTATATGTAGTAATATTAATGTTATAACAACAGTAATTGTGGTTAGAATATAGTCAGAATTCTGGATTTTTTACTTTTTTCAAATCTGGAAATTTCACATTTGAGAAATTGTTGTATGCATACATAACCTTTGTTGTTTGTGGCAAGGAGTGCCAGATTACGCCTGCCGTTGGCAACAGCCTTGAGTACCATTCAGGTGACAGTGCGATTTAGCTTAGTTCTGCCCTCAATTTTGATGAACACCTGGGGAGGTATGGGTCTGAGGGTCTACCACTTCTCTACCCTTCGACCAAACCACACAAGAGGCCTTTCCGCTCACCACATATTAAGATTACCGACACTGTACCTTTACAAACATCTATGCCTTCTCTAGGATTTGAACACGGGCACTTTCGCATGGCAGTCCGGCAACACTAACCACTATACCAGTTGGGTGGCATATAACCTTTGTTATGTACTGTTATGCAAATTGTCTATACCATGTTCATGGTATAGGCAATTAATCTTTAAGAGCAGTTATCTTGAAAATCAATGCATGAGATTAATTTTTATAGATGTAAAGGTAGCACAGATTATAAAATTCCATTAAAAATATTTTGAAATATGTTTTGAAAGAGATGTATAGAATGTGTTGATTATGAACAAAAGATAAGTTTTCCTTAAAGAACTCCCTTTTAATCAAATTTAATTGTATGAATCCTATTCTATGTTGTTAAACAACTACTTTCATTGTTGTTATGAAGTTAACAGATAATTAGCCAAGAAATCAGAAAATATCAAATGTTTGTCGTTTGTCTTATGTTGAAAAAAAAAAAAAAAAAACTGATGTAAACTTTTGGGCTGATACATTGAAGCTAAAATAAGTAGAAAAACAGAAATACATAGTTTTGGCGAAGCTGATTAAATTTGCTTTAATCTGCATCCATGGACCTACTGCTAATTATGCGGGTAATATTATGAGAGAATGTGAACATCCTTGAACACTGTGAAAATAATTCTTATTAAATAATAGCTGTGAAATTTATTCTTATTAACTGAAAACACATGTGTAATTTTGGATCAGAAAATCCTTTTCAGGGCCCTGTTGATATAGAATTTATTTATACAGAGTTCGTACAGTTCTTAAAAGTACTTTACCTAGGTTTTTTGGAAACAATTTTTGGTCCTTAATTTTACTCATCTGACTTTTCTGTGTATTTTTTACGACTGCCATTTTAAGTGTGAATTAACATTATGGAGAAATATTTTTCAATTCACTGGCAAATATATATTTAATGAGTTAGCATTTGAATTGTTTCCTACTTCTTGACAGGGCATGAGGAACACAGAGACCTACTTCCATTAAAACATTAACATTTCAAAATTATTTCTTTTTCTAGAATGAAGTGTTTACAAAATATTACATTGAAAACATCCTTTCCCTATTTGAGATATGATTTCTTTTATTATGTTGTAATAAATTTGGTGATTTATCAACATTTTGGTTATAATCTGGATATTTGTGAATTTTTTAACCTTTTTTTTAACAACCATAATAAAATTGATAAATATCATTAAAGTGATAATATATTAAAACTGTAATTAAAAAAGATAACATTAAAATAGAAAATTTTTATTTTCCCATCATGAATTTTAAAATAACATTACTTTCCATTTTGGCAACTTGGGG